GGGGGGGAGGGGGGGGAGGGGGGGGGGGTTAGAGAATGGAAGGTCGCGACGTACTGGCGCTTGGAGGCGAGCAGCTTGTCCTTGCCTCCACGGCCGAGGCCCGGATCGAGCGAGAAGAAGCTCATTTGGATAGATGGAGGAGGGGCAAAGGCTGTGTGTGGTGTGGTGAGCTGCGAGGTCGAGTGGGCGTGAGGTGGTCGTGGTCGCGGTCGTGGTGCTCAGGTGGCCGGTGGCCGGTGGCCGGTGGCCGGTGGCCGGTGGCCGGTGGCCGGTGGCCGGTGGCCGGTCCAGGATGGCCCCGACCCCGACAAGTCGCCAAGTCGACTCGACATTGCCGAGTGCACTGCGGGGGGACAGGGAAGAGGCGACTAGCGACAGACACTTGACTCGGACAGGGCAAGGATGGAGGGGCATGGAGCAAGCGTCTTTCCTTCGGCTGAGTTTGTGCAGGAGGTGACCAAGGATAACTTTGCCGAGGTGCTGCCGACATTGCGGGCTGCGGTGGCCGAGGCCGACTATGTGGCCATTGACGGCGAGTTCACGGGCCTGTTTGCGGGGCGGGCGACCAAGGGTCACTCTCTCGACTCGCTTGCGGCACGACACGCCAAGGTGCTTAAGTCGGCCAAGTCGTTCTGCATCATCCAGTACGGCGTGGCGACGTTCAAGCTTGATCCGGCCACCGGCCGCTACGCCGTCTCGGCCTGGGCATTCTACGTCTTCCCGCGGACCGGCGACGGCGGTTCGTGGGACGCGCTGCAGACCATGCAGGCCGAGTCGATCAACTTTCTGGCCGACAACGGCTTTGACTTTAACAAGGCCTTTATTGGCGGCATCGGCTACCTGACGCCGGAGCAGGAAGCGATCAAGGCCAAGCGCATCGCGTCCGAGGGCGAGTCGCGCGAGCCCATTGTGCTCAAGCCCGAGACGTTGATCAAGATGAACGCGCTCATTGCTGCTGTCCGCGCATGGCTCGACGAGGCCGAGCAGCCGGCCACAGTCGCCGGCGAGGATTCCGGGGCTGGCGATCCCGGATCGTCGGACAAGCCGCTGTACTCGCTCTCCACGGCCGAAGCGCTCCACTACGAGTACTTTGACACGCTCCCGGCGTCGGGCTTTATCCGGCGGCTTATCCATCAAGAGATCGAGGCCGCATTTGGCGACGACGTGGCAACCGAGTCGTTGCAGGTTGAGGGCGCGCCGCACTGGCGCAAGTATGTGCGCATTACCCGGTCAGACGCGGAGGCCAAGGCCGCTGCCGCCGCCGCGCGGGCGCAGGCGGCGCGTGATAAGCTCGAGGCGGCCATCGGCTTCCGCCACGTCCTCGACGCCATCCGCGACGCCAAGGTCCCACTTGTCGGCCACAACCTTACCTACGACCTCGCGTACACCATGGCGCAGTTCTACGGCCTCCGCACCGAGTCGGTGGCCGAGTACAAGGCCGCGCTCCGCGATACTTTTGGTCCGATCTACGACACCAAGCTCATCGCGTCCAAGGCACCGGCAGTCAAGCCGCTGGTGACGTCGACGGCACTGAGCGAGCTCGTCGCGCAGCTCGGTGATCTGGCCAAGCAGCGCGCTAGCTTTGGTGCGGGCTTTGACGCCTCGCCCGTCCGCAGTGGAGCCGGTGGGGCCGAGTTCCATGACGCCGGCTTTGACGCGCTCGTCACTGGCATGGCCTTTGCGCTCATGACCTCAATGTCGGCCAGTGCGTCGGTTGAGGACGTGACTGCCAGTAGCAGCTCGTTTGATGCCCTTGCTGCCACTGTCTCGCCGTGGCGCAACAAGATCAACGTCATGCGGTGCGCGGTGCCGTGGCTCGACCTCGACGGCCCGTTTGAGCCGGTCCCCAACAACGTGTTTGAGCTTGCAGGCCTCACCGCCTCGGTGCGGATCAAGCAGCTCCGCGAAGCTGTCGCACCGCACTCAATCGGCGGCCACAAGTGGCTCGACGACGAGCGAGTTCTTGTTCAGCTGAGCCCGGCCGAGGGTCACAGTCTCTACGACGCTGTCCGCCACATGTACACCGTTGCTAACGCGCCTTTCACCCACGTCGCACATGTCAACCTCGGCGAAGAGCGCGCCACCTTTACCTCGATCTACACCCCGGCTGGCGCTGCAGAGGCCTCGCGCAAGCGCAAGCGCCGCGACGCAGACGCCAACGCCGACGAGGGCGCCGCCAAGAAGCAGAAGGGCCTCTGCCTTGTGATGTAGCAGAGCCAGGTGAGAGATAAACGCGTTCAAGCAAGGCGTTCGCGACGGGCTGTCATCCACGTCAGTAGTAGTAGTGGGTGATGTTGGCGATCGATGACGGCGGACGATTGATGGAGGAGCGGAGACCCGAGTCGCGGCGGATGCGGGCGGCGACGACACCAAAGACCGGCCCGCTCTTCTCCTGGTCACACGCGAGGCAAGGATTCATGTTGTACGAGTTCGGCGGGACGTTGTTGGGCGTGTGCTCGATCCAGGCCTTGATGCAAGGCTCGAGGCAGTGCTTGAACGAGTTGATGGCGTCGTACATCCAGATCTGGGCGCACGGCTTGGAGAAGCCGATGTCGAGGAGGCAGTCGAGAGCGAGCTTCTTATCAAAGGCGGTCTCGAGCCCGCACTTACGGACCGGGTCGGTCAAATCCGGCTTGGCCATGTACACCGCCAGATCCTGGGTCGTTGAGCACAGACCGCACGGATGTAGATGAGTGACAAAGGTGGCCGGCGCTGCCTCGGCCGCCGCCCGGGTAGGAAACGTCGCGAGCTTGTACGACGACCGGTCGGGCTCATTGGGATAGACGACGGCACAGACTGGAACCGCTGGCCAGGTAGTGTTGATCGGCGGTGAAGCCTCGTACGGATCAGTGTGGAGCTCCGGGAACGGCGTCAGCAGAGTCTTGGCCGCAAACGCCTTCCACACCGTTGCGTTGTACGTCGGCGGGTCAAACGCCAACGCCGGGGAAGCTGCCAGTTCCGCGAGGAGCAGGGACGCAAGAACGAGTACAAGGGATGCCGGGAGCATGGCGAGATATGGGTGGGCGGGGAGGGACGGCTGGTGACGAGTCGGCGTGGGGTGTGGGCGTGCGTGCGTGCGGACGGACGGCCGTAGCGAGCGAAGGGTGCGTGCGGCGGCGACTCGGCAGCCGGCAGCATCGAAGATCGTCGGTGGATGTTCACCTCGTGTTCCGAGTGGCATTCATGGTCGGGTCGAGAGGCCGGGTCGGGTGGCAGTTGCGGCTGGCTGCACTCGGCAGCAGGTGGCGGCGAGGAGGGAGGCGGCCTGTATGGAGCAGGCCGGTTGGTGCGGTACACTTTTCTTGGGCTTGGAGAGGCTAGGCCGCCATGAGTTCGAGGAGGGACAATGAGGTGAAAGAACTGGAGGCTATAATCGCAGAGCTCGAGGTCGAGAACGAGGAACTGGTGGCGGTGGTCGACGAGTCGGCAGCCGACGCCGACCAGCTGCGCAGAGATCTGAAGGCCGCTGAGGAGCGCGCCCGCCGGGCAGAGGCAAAGTCTGGCCGTGAGAATGCGAGCGACGGGGACGGCGGGAAGGACTCGGACAAAGTCCGCGAGCTGACTGCCAAGCTCGAGGCGTAGGTGACTTGGGCGAGGGAAGGGAGACAGTGCAGAGGGACGAGGCGCCTAGGCAAGGAACTCACTGCGATAGATCGGCGACAGGGAGGAGGCAAAGCGGAAGCGAGCAGAGGCCAAGTTGGAGGAGCTGAAGGACGAGCTGAAGGACGAGCGCGAGTACACGTCCGAGCTGGAGGACAAGAACGCCGAGCTCAAGGCGCGGGTGAGCGGGCAGAAGGAGCGGGCGCCGTCGTCGGTGCAGGCGGACCAGGAACGACAGGAACGGGCGCGGGATCGCGATCGCAAGCGCATTGCAGAACTTGAGGCGCAGGTCGAGGCTATGAAGCGCGAGCGGAGCGTCGGCGGCAGCAGCAGCAGTCTGCGCGGTGGCGGGCGTCGTGGCATCCCGCGGTCGACGTCGCGCAATCTGCGTCGTACTTCGAGTATGCGTAGCTCGCCGGCGGCGTCGACAGCAGCGTCGGACTCGTCAGATGATGGCGAGCGTGAAGGCAGAAGGCGGAGGACGGGTGCGAGCGGCGGCGCCGAGTCGGGCTCGTCAGACGCGCCGACTGAGGCCTCGGTGGCCTCGCTCACAGGGCGCGGCGTGGTACGGAGCGACGACGAATACGACCGCATGAGCCGCAACGAGCTCCGCACTGCCGTGGACGAGCTCAAGCAGCTGTACGAGTCCAAGGTTCGCGCGTTCCGGGTCCGGCGGCGTCAGCTGAAGACCGAGCGTGCGCGGCGGCGCGACGTTGACCAGCGGATCGTCCTCCTCACTCGCGAGAAGGAGACCGTGGTGGCCAAGCTTCGGACCGAGCGCGAGTCCAAGTCAAAGCAGGCCTCGCGATACAACACACAAATAAGCTCGATGCGGTCGGCGCTTGATGGTGCGATGCGCTCGCTGCCCGAGGCACGCGCCGCCGCCGAGCGCAAGGACAACGAAATTGCCAGGCTCAAGGCCAAGATTGACTCGGAGCTCAAGTCGCGACGCAATCTTGACCACCAGCTGGCGCGCATGCGCAAGCGGCTGACCGCGACCAAGGCCCAGAATGTCAAGCTCCGCGAGAAGCTCATGCTCTTTGGCTCACCTGACGAACTTGTCGACGCCGAGGACCTGACCCTCGACATCGACGGCGTGCCGAGTCAGGTCAAGTCGTCGACCGTCCTCGCCGCCAAGCTCGCCCAGGAGCGCAAGCGACGGACCGAGCTCGAGTTCACTCTCCGCGAAATGGACTCGGAGTTGCGGGCGACGCATCGGGCGCCGCGCAAGCCGATCTCGCACTCTCGCTCGCCATCAGGGCGGGCCTCGACCTCGCTCGCCCTCTCTGCATCGTATCGCACCGGGCCGTCGCCGAGTCCGGGCCACCAGCGGTCGCCGACCCACCCGTCGGGCATGCTCCCGCCGATGCAGCAGGGCTCGCCGGCGTATCCGCCCACTCGCGGCCCGCCGGCGCACATGATGACCGCCCCACACATGATGCCGTCGCCGCAGCACATGCGCCGCGGCCCGCCGCCACCGCAGCACCAGTTTCAGCCCTACGGCCCGCCGCCTGACGCGTATCCGCCCGGCGGTATGTCCGCCTCGGCCACGGCCCAGCCGGCGGCAAGCACCTTTGTCACCCAGCCTGGCCGCTACTGATGATCGGCCACAACGCAATGAAGGCCACACCTCTCCCGAGCACCCGGCGAGCGCGCAGATGGATTGTGGCTGGGGCTGTCGCGCTCAGCCTGGTCCCGGCCCTCGATGGATCGACACTGTCCCTCCGAGTGTGGCTGTGGCTGCAGTCGTGGCTGCTCTTGCCGCCGCCGCCGTCCTCCTCTGCTGTGGTCCTCGTCCGTAGGTCGGACAAGCCCGCCTGGCGCGGCGAGCATGCCGCTCGCTTCCTCACACATACACACACATACACAAACACACACACACAGCTCTACAGTGTTGTGAGGTGTACCAAGTATGCTGCGGGCTACAGCTGTGGGGGTGCGTGGTGCGCGGGGGGCGTGGGCGGGACTGGCGGCGTGCGAGGTCGTGGGTATGGGGCGGGGCGCAGGGCCGAGACGGGCGGCGGGCACCATGCCGCTCTCGGCCTTTGTCCATGGTGCGCTGTATTCTGGGGACGAGGCGTACTTTGTGGGCGAGGAGCTAATTGCTGGCGGCGGCGAGCCGCTGGATCTGGGCGCCATGGGTAACGAGGGCGAGTACCGCGCTGCAGTGGCGCGGCTGTATGCGGCGCAGCTCGAGGGTGCGCGCGGAGCGGTCGAGCGGTCGTGGTCGACGCCCGCAGAGATCTGGGCACCGTGGTACGGGCGCGCTGTTGCGCGCTGGCTAGCCGCCGAGCTGGCTGCCGGCGCTCGTTCCGACGAGCCCGTGGCGGTTGTCGAGATTGGTGGCGGGAACGGGACGCTCGCCGGAAACGTCCTGGACTACCTCGCCGTCGCACATTCGGAGCTCTACGAACGCTTGACGTACACCGTTGTCGAGATCTCGCCTGTGTTGCATGCGTTGCAGGCTGTGCGGCTAACGCCGGCGCATGGCGAGCGCGTCGAGCTCGTTCAGTCCGCCTTTCAGGAATGGCGGCCGACAAGTGCCACGGTGGTGGCCAAGCCGACGGTGGTCATGGCCCACGAGGTGCTCGACAACTGCCCGCACGACCTTATCCGTTGGGTTGACGACTCGCCGCAGCTGGCAATGGTTGATGGCGGCGTGCTCGATCCGGAGCGGCGTGCGGGATGGCGGCGCGGCGACGTGACCATCGATTGGGTCCCACTCACCCCCGCCGTCGCACCGCCAGGCCTGCTCGACCTCCTCGACGCGCGTGAGGCTGTCGGTGAGCTCCCAAGGTACGCGCCGTCGCGTGGCTCGTGGCTCGGTGCTTCCATCGAGGCCGGTCGGCAGTGGATGGTCGAGCAGCTGCGACCGTCCCGCGAGCATGCCGAGGAGTGGGTGCCCACTGTGGGCTACCGCTTCCTCTCCCACGCCCACGACCTATTTCCGCGGCTGGGCCTTCTCATGACCGACTTTGACGCGCTTGCAGGTGCGGTTCCGTTCCAGGGCCACCTTGCTCCGGTGGTCCAGCGGCGCGACCCTTCGCGCGGGCATGCCACCGTCCGCTTTGACTCGGTCCTCGACCCGGCGCCCGGCACTGCCGACATCTTCCACCCCACCGACTTTTCCCTCATGGCCGCCCTCAACAATGGCCTCGGTGCTCCACGGACCGAGTACTGCAAGCAGGCCGCGTGGCTCAAGGTCTTTGCCGCCGACGATCTGTCCGCCACCACCACCCGATCGGGCTACAATCCGCTCCTCGCCGACTACATCAACTTTTCCGTTCTCGAGGCCCCCATTGCGACCGATGGAGCACCAGCAGCTGGCACGTAAACGTTGCGCCGTACAAAAGGGCGAGGCTGTGGTGCGGAGGCGTGGGGGCGTGGGGGCGGGACATTCAACAATTTCGAGTCGTCGTTGTTGGCGTGGAGTTGGCGCCAAGCAACTCGCCACACGGCCACACGACACACCCGTCGCTGAGAAGGGGAACCACAATCCCATGCCGCTGTGTGACATCACAAACGGGCCGCCACCGGCCACGCCGCCGTCCAAGTACGCCGAGTACCTGCTCGCTGAGCCCGAGGCTTCGCCCGACCCGCGCCTCCGCGCCCTGGAAGCCCGCCTCGCTGAGGCCGAGGCCCGCCTCGCCGCCAAGGACTCGGACCTGGTCCTCGCTGCAGAGGCCGGCTTCAACCTGCTGCAGGAGAAGAATGCGCTTGCTACCCGCGCCGCTGCCCGCGAGCGCGAGCTCGAGGCCCGCATCGCCGAGCTCGAGGCCAAGGCCGGCGCAGGCGGAGGCGGCGCGAGGGTCAACACCGCCCTCATCGACGAGTTCCAGGCCCAGGTCGACGAGGCCTACGCCGCACTAGCTGCTAAGGATGGAGAGCTGGCTGCCGCCGCTCGCGAGAAGGAGCAGCTCGCTCGCGCGCTCGACGACACCCGTGCCGAGCTTGCGGTCGCTGCCAACGACGCCGCCGCCGCCGCCGCCGAGCTCGCCTCGGCCCACGCCGATGCAGAGAAGGCAAACAAGATCCGCGCCAAGCTTCAGCTCGAGCTAGAAGCTGCTGCCGAGTCTATCCGGCAGGGCAACGAGACGACGGCTGCACTGATCAAGCTCGAGCGCGAGCACGAAAAGGTGGTGGCTACAAACGTCGCGCTCCGCGAAGCGCTCGCAGACCTCGAGGCCAAGCTAGATGCGGCCGCCCCGCTGGCGGCTGCGCATGCCGGTCTCAAGGAGCAGCTTGACTTTACACGGGAGCAGATGGCCGAACTCAAAAACAAGGTCATGGAGATGCAGGCCAGCGCGGCGTCACTGCGCGAGGAGAACGCCGAGCTGCGCGCTGCCGGCGGCGGCGGGACCGAGGACTTTGCGCACGCCTCGTCGCTCTTTGCCGTCCAGATGAATGAGGAAAAGACGGTACTCGAGAAGAACCTCGAGGCCGAGCGGCAAAGTCGGCTCGCTACCGAGCACGAGCTCAAGCACAAGATCGAGGTCAATCTTGCCGAGAACGCGCGCCACATCTCCGAGCTCGAGGCCCGCGAGCTCGAGCACAAGGCCGCCATTGCCCAGCTTGAATGTGAACGGGTGTTCAAAGAGAGGCTCGATGAACTCGAGGCTGCCGCCGAGCAGGCCAAGTCGATGATGTGCAAGCGCCAAGAGGCCGCAAACTCGATGGCCGATAAGCTGCAGGACCAGATCGCCAAGCGCGACGCAGCCAAGGCTGCCGCCAACGCGCCGGGCCCAAGACCGAGGCCAAGATTGAGGCGCTCAAGGAGTTCAAGAAGCTTCGCATGACCGTCAATCGCGCTGAGCGCATGGCCGCCAAGGCCGTCGCCGCTGCAGCACGCGCCGCCGACGGCTACGCCGCCAAGCTCGCTGCTCTCGACGCCGCACGCGCTGCTGGGCCGCAGCCTGTAGATGCATAAGCGGGCGGGGACAAGTAAATGTAGACTACAACTGTAATGACATGATCGCTGGTGATGATGCCATGCACCCGCCGCCACGCCATTTGGAGTTGGACTGCTGCTGCGCGGCCGCGCGGTCGGCGACCGGCCGAAAGGGGCGAGCACTTGTCTTGTCCCGGCGCCCACGTGCAAAGGTGTTGTAGCCAACCATAGAGATTGGGCATGGACTCTTCCCGCTCGGTGGTATGGATAGAGGACGTGGGAAGCGGCGACGACGAGTACGCTCAGGCTGCGGTGATCAGGCGCCCGCCACCGCTGACTATCGACCTGACCGGCCTCTCGTCCGAGGACGACGAGCCAAGTGCGCCTGCTGCTGGCAGTGCGCCTGCTTCTGCCGCGACGCGGAAGCGGCAGCGCTCGGAATCGGGAGACGAGTCGGGAGTGGAGGCCAAGCGGCGGCGGACGGCGGCGGAAGCGGGAGCGGCTGGTGACGGTGGCGACGGTGGCGCGCGTTACGGGTTCCGGCTCATCCGCCCGAGGAGATTCGAGCCGGCGAGTCACGACGGGGGATGGGTGCGGCTGGAGGAGCTAGTCCCGCCAGCCGACGAGCTCGAGGCGATGGTTCTCACCTCGTACACCTTTGATCTCGAGTGGCTGGCAAGCGCGATACCGGCGCTGATGGCCGTGCCGACGCTGGTGCTTGCGGAGGCGCGGGCGCTGCTTCCGTCGGCAGCGCAAGTGTGGGCCAAGGCGCTGAGCGGGCACGAAAGCGAGCCGCATGTCCACGTCATTTATCCGCGGGTCCTTGGCTATGGCACCCACCACACCAAGGCCATGCTGTTCTTCTCGCCCGATCGCGTGCGCGTCGTCATCCACACTGCCAACATGGAGCCCGGCGACTGGGAGAGCAAGAGCCAGGGTGTGTGGAGCGCCGACTTTGAACGCAAGGCTACCAGGTCTTCGTCGCCGACCTCACGGTTTGAGGCTGATCTCATTCGCTACTTTGAGCACCACTCGTTTGCCGATCCTTGCGCGCTGCCACGCCTCCGTGCGTTTGTCCTCGATCGTCTGCCAAGGTATGAGTTTGGACCCGCCGACTCGCATGTGAGGCTCATCGCCTCGGTGCCCGGCTCGTATCCCAGCCCTGGATATCTTCCACCTACAGGCGGCCAAGGGCGGCGGATGACGTCGGCCACACCGTGGACGGCGTTCGGGCACTTGGCGCTGCGCTGCGCACTCGACGAGTGCGCTGCCCTTGCGAGTGGCCCCGAGACGTCCGACTCGATTGCACTCCAATGCTCGTCACTCGGCTCGATGACCAAGAAGTGGTATGCTGACCAGCTGCTGGCGTCGATGGAGGCGCTGCCGGGCGGGCGCGGGCGAGCTGGGGCCGGCGCAACGCTGTACGTTCCAAGCGCCGAGACCGTGCGCAGCTCCGTCCAGGGCTATGCAGGCGGCGGTTCACTGCCGATCTTGTCGGCCAAGGTGCGGCGAGCGGTGAAGGCTGGCGTGGCCATGGCAAGATGGGACGCAGCAGCATCCGGCCTTGTCCGCCACGTCCCGCACATTAAGAGCTACGCGCGGGTGAGCGGCAATGATCCGCGCCGCCTCTGGTGGGTGCTCCTCACCTCGGCCAACCTCTCCAAACCGGCGTGGGGCGTCATCGAGCGGGCAGGCACACCGTCGGCCTCGCTCCGGATAGAGTCGTACGAGCTTGGTGTTGTCTTTCTCCCGCAAGTCGGCGAGGTGTTTGAGGCGTGTTTTGAGCCGCCGCCGCCGCCGATCGACCCGCCCGGCTCGGACTCGGATTCGAGCGATGGCGAGGACGGGCCTGCCATCGGAGCCGCCAAGGTGATCCGCTTTCCACTCCCGCACCGTGTCGGGCGGCCAGATCGGTTCGAGCACGTCGGCGAAGACCGCGAACTTGGCATGGCCAACGAGCCGTGGATGCGCGACAAACCGTACTCGATGCCTGACCCGTTTGGCGTCTGCGTCGCAAGGCCCATGTCGTCCTAGCCTGCCGGCCGGCCGTCGACCGACGACCGCAAAGCCTAGCACTCCACTCCCACCCCCCACCCCCCCCCCACACACACACACACACGCAAAGAGAGAGAGTAAGAGTGAGAGGACATCATGGCCACGGTGCAGGACAAGCTTGACCATATGCACGCGCGGTATACGGGGACCGGGTCGGCCGAGACCGACCGCGAGACGTGGGCAAAGGAGCAGGCCCGCGACACGACGGCCTCGTTCCTGGCACACCCGCCGCTGGGCCTCTACCTTGCGGTCGCACGCAACGACTCGGTGGCACGGGTCCGCTACGACCTGCTGCGCAGGCTGCCTGCCCCGCACAGCGCCCCTCCGCCGTCCGCAAACACCATGCCGCCCGCTGAGGACGGCTAGACGGCGCCCACGGAAGGAGGCGAGTCTCTCCCCGGTTGGCTGAGGCTGTGGCGCCTGATGCGCCTGCCGCGACAAGAGTCAGCTTGAGAAGTCGTCAGGAGCACGAGGTGTCGTGGCGATGTGCTCGCGATGGGGCCAAGGCCTTGCCGGACGCTGCGCAGCTGCGCTGCGCTGCACAGCAGCGCCGCGCCAGGAGCGTGGCTGGCACGGGGTGGGCCAATCGGCAAGCTGCATGCCCGTAAGAGACGATGACATAAAGAGATTAGCCTGGTAGTCATACTGCTTGGGGTGAAGAGCTGGGGTGCACAGGCGATCGAGGCCAGTGCGTGCCAGAGTCGGAATGGGGCGGGGAGCGCGGCGAGGCGGGACGAGGCGAGGCTGTGGCGAATTCGGTGATCACAAAACTGGGCCATACGCAACATGACCCATGCTGATACGGATGGAAGACATACTTTACACAACACGGCGAAAGGCAATGGCAGCGATCTACGGGCGACCATAAGGAGACGGCAGAGTTGAGACGGGCGGGCAGGTGGCGTGGAGAGTAGCGCTCCCGCCTGAGGATGGCAGGCCCCAGGCGGCGGAGAGGAACCGCTTCAAAAGTCCTCGTCGTCCTCGGGAATGGGCTCGGTCTTGGGCTCAAAGTTCTTGGCAAAGGTCTCTGCGACGAGGAGCGGAACAACGAGGGTGGCCTCGGCGTAGACCTTGACAGGATCGGCGTTTGCGCGGATCTTGCCCCAGGAGATGGACTCGTCGGGGCGGGCGCCGGCGTCGGAGCCGTCAAACTCTGCGGCAGTGTTGACCAGGACGCAGTAGTCGAGGCCGTTGCGCATGAGGTTGGCGTTGAGGATATGGTGCTTGATGAGGCCACCGCCAAAGATGACCGCGCCAGTCTTCTTGGCAAACACGGCCTGGTTGTTCATGCGGCGGATGTCTGAGGCGATGTCGAGGACAAGGCCGGGGTTCTCGTACGAGTGGAAGTAAATCATGTCGCCGATGGAGCCGTCGGTGAGGGCTGGCGAGAAGACCGGGATGTTGTTCTTGTACGCCCAGTAGTAGATGGAGCGCTCGTCGTTGATCTCCTTGCCGAGGCGGTGGATCATCTTGGACGGCGACCAGACCACGCCGTGGGTCTTCTGCTCCTCCACCATGGCGTCAAGAATGGGGAAGATCCAGTCCTGGAAGGCGCAGTAGTTGTTGTTCGGCACCAGCAGGTTGCCGATGCGGTTAAGCCCGGCGTCGCGGAGCGTCTTGCCCTTGAGCGCAAAGTCGCCGAGGTAAGACGGCGCGAGGCACGAGATAAAGTCCTCTTCAATGCCGCCGGCGGTGGAGACGACGACGTCGACCATGCGGTGCTGGCGCGGCGGGGCGAGGGGGGGGAGGAGGGTGAGTCAGGGAGGAGGGGGGCAGGTGCGGGGAGGGGGGCGGGTACGGGGAGGGGGAGGGGCATGGCTGCGGGGGATGGATGGATGGGTGTGCCTGCGAGTGAGCACGTACCTCGACCAGATAGCGGAGGGTCTCGCGGAGGCCCGAGGAGACGAGGTTGGAGGTGTAGCCGAGGAAGATCTTGCAGCGGGTGCGGGCGCGGACCTCGGGGTCGGTGTAGTCCTCGGTCTCGTCGTCGTCGACAGGCTCGTCCGAGAGCCGCCACTTGAGCATGGCGTTGACCTGGTCGATGGCCTTGGCCAGGTTGGTGGCCTGGAAGCCGGTGGTGGCGTACGCCTTGAGCATGGCCTCGTAGTCGATGCCGTTGTTAAAGTCGTAGCCCTTGACCTCGGCCGTCTCGGGCGTCGATGACGACGGCGAGAGGACCGACGAGCGGGCGACTTCGGGCGCGTTGGGCAGGTTGGTGGCGTCGGACATGAACCGAGTGCGAGTGGGGTGTGCTGTCGCTGACGCAGCCTCTGCCGCCTCGGACAGTGGCAATGCAACCGGAGCCGGAGACACAGACAGAGACGGCAGTGCAGACGATGAGGTGGACATGAAGATACGTTAATGATGGCTGCCAGTGCCTCTCTGTCCCATTCCTGCTCCAACCGGAGTGCCCTTTTGTGATGGATGGCATTGTAAGCGGTGGCTCGGAGAAGGTTCGCACGCCAAAAGTGACATCCCCAGCGAGTGGCGGGCGGAGAGCGGAGAGCGGACATACCTCCCTCGCTCTCCCGCCATGCACCTGCTCCCGCTGGTTCTTGCGGCTGCTGTCATCCTTGCTCTTGCCGGCTCTACTCTTGCCTTCCCCTCGCGGGTCTATGGCATCGACGTCTCCCAGCCGGTCTCCACCGACTCGATGCGCTGCCTTGTGAACCTCAACCTGACCTACACCGTTGTCCGTGTATGTACCCCACCCCTCCTCCCCCCCCCCTCCCCATCGGCTCCGCCGCACCTGATCTCAGTCGCGCCATGCAACAGTGCCTGCCGCCAGCTGGATGCACACAGGCCGCCACGGGTACAACCACGGGCACATGCAGCCACACGGACCCAGTGCCATGCCATGGGTATCCATTGCATACCCCCCCTCCCCCCTCCCCCCTCCTCCTCCTCCTCCTTTTTCCTTTCGCACTCACTCCTCCTCCTCCTCCCCCCTCCCGCTGCGACACGACAGGCCTGGCACTCGACCGGCAGGCCCGACACCAACGCCCCGGGCACCGTCGCCGCCGCATGGGCAGGCGGCATGCACGATGTCGACGTGTACATGTTGTACGTCCCATCCATCCATCCATCCCCCCCCCCCTCCTCCCTCTTCCCCCAACTCACACCACCAGCCCGTCTCGCCACCTGTATCCGCGCGCGCGCATCTCGACCACAGTGTACGCTACTCCCCCCTCCCCCCATCGCCATCATACCCTCTTTCTTCACTTACTCATGACTCATGCTCACACCTTTCCTGCCTCCATTCGCCTCGTCTACAGCGTACGTGCTCCATCTCCTGCCACCCCTCCTCCCGGCGCTACCCTCCCTCCCCTCCCACTCACCCACACACACACACAGCCTGCTCTAGCTGCGGCAACCCGCAGGGTCAGGTTCAGGACCTGCACACATTCCTCAGCGAGCACAATGTCCGCTTCGGTATGGTCTGGCTCGACATCGAGGGCCCGGGCCTGTACTGGGGCCACGATCTCGACGCCAACGCCCAGTTCATCCAGGACCTCATCTCCGAGGCCCGCGCTGTCGGCTTCCACCTGGGCATGTACACTTCGCTCTCGCAGTACCCGGGCATCGTTGGCTCTGGCACCTTTGCCTCGGATCTTCCGCTCTGGTACGCCGACTACGACGGCGTCCCGTCGTTTGACGACTTTCGGCCCTTCAACGGCTGGTCCCATCCCGCTATCAAGCAATTCTCCGACGCTGGCAGCAAGTGTGGCGCGTCGTACGACATCAACTGTAAGTTGCCTATCTTTCTGCCTTTTCCTCACGGCTTTTTTCCCTGTTTCCCCCTCACTCACTCCCACGTGCGGCGCCGCGGTACTGCGACGATGGCCAATGCCCGACTCGATCAGGGTACCCCGCCTAAGACCACCCCGCCCCCCGTCGGCCGATGGTTATATCCATGGGCATTGCCATGGCATCCCATGCTAGCCAGCCGTAAATCCATTTTCCCCCATCGGTGCAGCAACAACATCATCACCGCGTCTGCCGAGCGGGCAGGCGAGCGGACGAGGCAAGACCTGTCGCCCGCTTGGCCATGAACGCGCACTCGGCAGGCCGGGTGGCGGCCTTTGGCTTTTCCATGTACGGCCAGTGCGGGACCGGCGCCACCTCGTCCATCCGCTCGCCTCGCTTACTCGCTGCCCTCGATGGCGTTTGCATCGCTGCTGTCACTGCCGGCGAGTACCACTCTGCTGCCCTCTCTGCAGACGGTGCCGTCTACACCTGGGGCAAGGGAGGTACGCCACCGATCCCGATCATGATCCTGTCCCTCTCTGCGGCCGTGCCTGTCCCCTCTGCCGCGCCCCCCTGCACGGGCCCATACGCCCCGCCATCCACCGCCTATGTCGCCCTTTCCCTCCTCTTTCCCTCCTTCCCTCCCTCCTCCCCCTCTCCCCTCTTCCCCCCCTCCTGTGCCACTCACCGTGCCTCCCCCCCCCCCCCCCCCCCCGCCTCCTCCACCACTTTGGCGCGCTTTTTCGCAGACGACGGCCAACTGGGCCTCGGCGCCACTGGGCAGGCCGTTCTGCCGACTCAGGTGGTGGCACTGGACGGCATTCGCATTGCGAGCGTCTCGGCCGGTGGCGCACACACTGTGGCACTTGATGCTGCTGGGAATGTCTTTGCCTGGGGTCGCGGCTCGTCCGGCCAGCTCGGGACCGGCGGGACCGGCTCCGAGTGCTCGCCCGTCGCTGTCTCGTTTGTCGACGTGCTCGACGCTGGCGAGCGGATTGTCGACATTGCGGCCGGCTCAGACTTTACGCTCTTTCTTACGTCGGCCGGCGGCGTCCTGGCCACCGGATCGGGTATGTATGGCCGGCTCGGGACAGGCTCGACGCTCTCGGCGCTCTCGCCAGTGCGGCTCGCCAAGCTCGACGGAGCGAGCATCACCCATGTCGCGGCCGGGACTCACTGCGGGATGGCGCTCTCGCAGTCGACGGGCGCAGTCTATGCATGGGGCTTTGGCAAGCTGAGCCCGACGCCTATGGACCAGCTCATGGATCTCGGTATCACGGCAGTCGCTGCCGGCCAGTATCACGGCGCCGCGGTTGCCGCCAACGGCGCGCTTTACACTTGGCGGTGGGAAAGTCGGCGCTCGCTCTTGTCCAGCCGCTCCCGCAGCTTTCCTTTGTTGACGTCGCCGCTGGCGATGACCACACTCTGGCGCTTGCCGCCGACGGCTCCCTCTACTCGTGGGGCAACGACATGTACGGCCGCCTCGGCCGGCCGACCGCCGGAGACGAGCCCGGATGCGCCTCGCCGGGTGTCCCAGCGCTTGTTCCGGGCCTGGCCACGGCGCGAGTTCGTGCTCTTGCCGCTGGCGGCGCACACTCGTTGGTGGTCATTGTCGGCGCGCCGGCGAGTTCGCCGCGAAGCAGCGGCGGACGGCCCTCGCTCCGCCAGGCCTCCGCGTCGCACCGTGCCGCGCCATCCAAGGCCGAGCGAATGGCTCGGCTGTCGGCGATGCTCTCTGGCAAGTCCAATGGGGGAAGCACACCGGCCCGGGCAAGCCGCTCGGTTGCGGCCGCGACCTCGTCACTTGCGCGGACGCATGAGTTTCAGCGGTACGCGGCGCGGCAGTCAAGCCGCGGGTCGCCGCGCGTCGCCGCGCCGTCACAGGCCTCGGCTGTCTTCTGGAACTCGCCAAACCACTCGTCAACAGCGGCGGTGCGACCATCGCGAACGCCATTGCGAAGCTCGCCGCTGCAGACCTTGCCGCTGGGTGGTGCGAGCCGATCTCCGCCTGTGCGGTCGGTGGCGGCGACGCTGCAGGAGCTTGCCAATGCCGAGCTCGGAGCGAGTGCAGCGCGGTCGCGTGGGGCGCTGTCGGCCCGGCACCGCGAGTCGCATGCCCTCGCTGATGAGCTGGCCAACTCGCGGGCATCGCTGGAGGCGACGAAGCGGACGTCTGAGCGGCTGCGGCGTGACATGGACGCGCTCGCAGCGCAGCGTGCGCGGTTGGCACGGTCGACGACCGAGCTCTCGGCGTCCCTGCGGGCGTCGACGTCATCGATAGAGCACGAGCACGAGAGCGCGCGCGTCACCCGCGACGCCTCGATCGATGCCTTTGTCCGCATGGCCGACGAGGTGGAGGCGCTGCAGACCGAGACTGAGGTGATGCAGGACTCGACAGCAGCGCTGTCTGACTCGCGGGCGTCGCTGGAGGCACTGCGGTCGTCGGTGGCGGAAGAGCACACCGTGGTCTCTCACCAAATCGAGGCGCTAGAGCGCGAGCTCGCACTTGCCCACGCTGACTCGGAGTCTGCTGTCGCTCACCACGCTCGGCTGGCACAGGCCGTGGAGGCGCAGCTCCTGTCGAAGAACGAGGTCGAGGTCGAGTCGGCGCAGCTCAAGGCAGCACTGGCCAATGAGCTCGAGATGAGGACGCGCTCGAGGCCGCGGCTTCGACGCTGCGAGTCGAGCTCGCGCGAGTCCGCGAGCAGTGCACCCGCCTCTCTGCGGCGCTGGACCAAGCCGACTCGGCGCTGACGGCGCTCAAGACGCGACGCGATGGCTTGCAGAGCGAGCTGGCGGAGAAGGCGGGCGAAGAGGACGAGCTTGTGACGGCCATTAACGAAGCGAGCGCGTCCATCGACGCCAAGACCGCGGCCATCCACGACCACAACGCGTCGCTAGCCAAGCTGGTGGGCGACGAGGGCCGGCTGGGGACAGAGCTTGCCGAACTGGCCGATCGCAAGGCGTCGGCCGACGCGCGGGTGCTCACGCTTGCGGCGCAGGTCGAGGAGGCCGAAGCGCGGCGGGCGAGCGTTGAGGCGCAAGTTGCCTCGCTCGCAAAGCAGCTCGGCGAGGCACAGGGCGGATACACTGCGTTGCAGTCTGAGTTTAAGGCCAAGGCAGCCGAGCTCGACACGATCCGCGGCGAGACGACCCGGGTCCGCGAGGCCATTGCGCACGCTGAGGCCGACACAGCGACGGCAAAGGAGACGCTCGAGCGCGAGCGTGGTGTGTTTGCCCGCGCATCGGCGCTCCGCGACTCGACGCTCGACCAGCTCTCGGAGACCAAGGCTGCGCGGGTGACGATGGAGAAGGAGGTCCACACGCTGCAGGCCGAGCTGGCCGAGGCGCAGGCTGAGGCGCAGGCCGCGCTGGAGGCTCGCAATAAGGCACAGCGCGAGCTCGAGACCGAGCAAGAGGCGCGGCGGGTGGCCATGTCGGCCAAGGCCAAGCTTGAGGAGGCGGTCGAGCTGGAGCGCGAGTCGCGGCTGGTCGCACTCGCAGCCAAGGAGCGGTCGGCCCTGCAGCTCGAGGTAGAGCAAGAGAAGAAGCTCGCGCTCGCCACCGAGGAGGAGCGGCTCTCGCGGGCGGTCAAGTCGTCGCGGGCGGCATTCCGCTCGGCGGCGGCGACTGCTAAGGAGAACGCGGCGTACGCGGCAAACCTGCAGAACTCGGCGGCAAGCATAGGTGGCGGCGGTACGGCGGTGCGGCAGACAGCGAGTCGGCGCTCGATCTCGCCGCGCAAGGTGGCGGCGACCAAGGCCCGGGTTGCACAGCTGCTCTCGACACTTGATCCAGAGCATGCCCCGGCGCTGGCGGCGACGCATACGTCGCCCAACACCGGCGAGCGGGCGAGTGGCAGACCAAAGCACTTTGCGGCCGTCGAGCGCGCTAAGCGGGTGCTGCACGAGGCCAAGGCGTCGATGGCGATGGCGGCGACGCTGGAGGCGGTCGATGTGGCGTCGCCCGGCCAGATTGCCGCCGACATTCCGCGCTCGCAGCTGCGCCCGGTGAACGAGGTCCTCGAATCGTCGGTGGCCGCCGAGCTGGACACAGCCGAGCGCGATGTGCGGGCGGCGCGGGCCAAGCTCGACGCGATCCTCGCCACCGCGCGCTGAGGACATTACACCTTGGCCATTCGCTTGAGCACGGCACGGTCGGCCGACTGCAGCACGCCGTCCCACACCAGCAAGTCGAGAGCGAGCACAACCTTGTCGTAGCTGGCAATGAAGGCCTCCTCGGTCGGCTTCTTAATGGCGCCGTCGACGGCGTCGCTGATGAGGCCGAGCGCGGCCGCCAGCTCGAGCTCGTCGGTCTGGGCCAGCTCGCCCGAGACAAAAAGCATGAGCGAGCCGAGGACGGTGTAGACCACAGCCATGTCGGCGCCTGTGCCCGGAAAGGCGAGCGCAGCAACGAGATTGACGCCCGGCTCGAGGTCGCGCCACTCGCTGGCGGTGGCGCTGGCCACGGCGGCCTGCCACTCGCCACGGGCCTCTGGCTCGGTCTCTGTCCAATACACGCCTGCAAGGACCTTTCCGCCGAGGGTGGATATAAGCAGGGAATGCAAGGCCATCGAGGGTGTGGATGGGGAGGGGTGTGGAGGGACAGACAGGTGTGTTGCCGCAAGCGCCGCCGCGAGCCCGAGCCGGAGCCCGCTTTTGAGGAGCTTTCGTCATCGGCAAGCGCAGAGGAGACTGAGCATTCCACTTGTGGATATGGCCAGCCACTGCACATCGATGGCGTGATGGTGTGATGTGGTGTGTGGTGGAGTCGGCGGATGGATGGATGGGCCAAAGCGAACCATCTCGAAGACCACCACCCGATAGGCGGGGACCGGGATGGGGACGGCCGGATGGGGGGGAGGGGGGGGGGAATGGATTGCGGACAGGAGCTGTAGAGGGGCCAGGAGGAGTATGGGGGGTAGGTGACAGGCGTGTGGAGGTGGGCAGGTCATGCGAGTGGGACTCATAGGGGTGGGCGGGGCTGTGTGGTGTGGACAGAGGAGGACATGGCTGCTTCGGACGGGTCGGACGACGAGGTGAGCAAGTACGTCGAGGGCGGGGCCAAGGGCAAGGCCAAGAAGGGCAAGGCCAAGAAGGGCAAGGCCAAGAAGGGCAAGGCCAAGAAGGGCAAGGAGACCGAGACCGAGACTGAGGTTGAGGCTGAGGCTGAGGCTGAGGCTGAGGCCGAGGCTGCGGCTGCGTCTGCGGGACACGGCGAGAACGAGCCGCTGCCGGGCGAGAGCAAGCCGTCGAGCAAGGCGTTCACCTCGCTGGACTTGAGTGAGCCGACGCAGAACGCGCTGGCGGAGATGGGGATGACGCACATGATGGAGGTGCAGTGGCGGACTATTCCGCTGCTGCTCGACGGCAACGACGTGCTCGGCGCGGCGCGGACGGGATCGGGCAAGACGCTCGCGTTCCTCATTCCGACGGTTGAGCTGCTGCACAAGCTCCGGTTCAAGCCGCGGAACGGAACAGGCGCGATTGTGATCACGCCGACGCGCGAGCTGGCCATCCAGATCATGAACGTGGCCGAGGAGCTGATGCAGTTCCAGTCACAGTCGCGGGCGCTGATCATCGGAGGCGCCAACCGGCGGACCGAGGTGGAGAAGCTGGCCAAGGGCCAGAACCTGCTTGTGGCAACGCCCGGGCGGCTGCTGGACCACTTGCAGAACACGACCGACTTTATCTACCGCAACGTGCAGGTCCTTGTCCTTGACGAGGCCGATCGCATGCTCGACATTGGCTTCGAGGAGGAGCTGAGGCAGATCCTGTACCTGCTGCCCAAGGAGCGGCAGACGATGCTGTTCTCGGCGACGCAGACCAAGAACATTCAGGACCTCGCGCGGCTCTCGCTCAAGTCGCCGACGTACGTGGGTGTCCACGACGAGCTGGCAGCGTCGACCGCCGCCGGGCTCGAACAGGGCTACGTGGTGTGCCCGTCAGCCGACCGCTTCCGCCTCCTGTTCACCTTCCTCAAGAAGAACCGCAAGAAGAAGATCATCGTCTTTATGTCGTCTTGCAACGCCGTCAAGTTCTACGCCGAGCTGCTGACCTACGTCGATGTGCCGTGCCTCGACCTTCACGGCCGCCAGAAGCAGAACAAGCGGACGACGACGTTCATGAAGTTTATCGAGGCCAAGGCCGGCATCCTCATCTCCACAGACGTCGCCGCCCGAGGCCTCGACATTCCGGACGTCGACTGGATCGTCCAGTACGACCCGCCGGACGACCCCAAGGAGTACATCCACCGCGTGGGCCGTACCGCCCGTGCCGGCGCCCGCGGCCGTGCCCTGCTCTTCCTCTTGCCCGAGGAGCTGGGCTTCCTCCGCTTCCTTCGCCAGGCTCGCGTCCCGCTCAACGAGTTTGAGCTGGCCAAGGGCAAGATTGCCAACATCCAGTCGCAGCTCGAGGCCCTCATCGAGAAGAACTACTACCTCAACAAGGCCGCCCGGGACGGCTACCGCTCCTACCTGCAGGCCTACGCCTCGCACTCGCTCAAGGACATCTTTAACGTCCACCAGCTCGACCTCCTCGAGGTTGCCCTCTCTTTTGGCTTCCGCACCCCGCCCAAGGTTCACCTCAACGTTCAGTCGTCCAAGGGCACTCGCATCGAGCGCCGCGGCGGCGGTGGCGGCTTTGGCTCGGGATGGGCTAAGCAGGAGGCCAAGCGTCGCAAGCTCGGCTTCTCCGCCGACGACCCCTACGGCTCGTCCGGCCATCGCTCTGTTGCCCCGTCCACCAGCACGGCCTCCCGGTTCAAGATGAAGAACACCAAGGGCCGCCAGTTCTCCCGGTAAACGTAAAGCAAACGGCAGTACGGCGCGAACACTCGCAAATCTGTCCACTTTTTGTATTGCAAAGGGCTGCTCTGCTGCAAGTTGGTCAGTGTAGTTGGCGATCACTCACTGTACCGTACGGCGACGCGAGGAGTGGCGAGGCATCAGAAGGTCTTCTTGATCCGGTACGACGCCATCCGATCCTTGGGCACACCGGTCTTGCGGCCGACCGCGTACAGGAACCGGGCCTCGGTCTGACGGTGCTTCTTTCCGCTCGACTCGGCCTTGTCGCTGGACTTGGCCTTGCCCTTAGACTTGGACTTGGCCTTGTCCTTGGACTTGGACTTGACCTTGTCCTTGGACTTGGCCTTGGCCTTGTCCTTGGACTTGGCCTTCTTTCCAGCGCGCTCGTTGCTGTCGTCGTCGTCGTCGTCATCGCGCTTGCGCTTCTTAGACGGCGCGTCCTGGCCGTCATCAGCTGACGGAGAGGCGGCCTCGTTGTCTGCACGCCCGTCGCCGCCCTGAGCGGCGGCCTTGCGTGCTGCGCGCTTGGCCTTGCGCTTGGCGGCCTGAGTCGACTTGGCCTGGCGGCGCTTGGTGCCCTCGGTCTTCTTGGTCTTCTTCCGGTCGAGTTTGGCGAGGCGCGCCTTGGTCTCGCGCAGGTCGACAGTCTTCCACGCCTCGCGGATGCGCTCGGGCTCGGCATCATCCTCCGCGGTCCGCGGCTGGACCTTGTCCGGGTTCTTTTGCGCGTACTTGGCCATAAACTTGGAAAACTTGCGCTTGTACCGCTGCGGCTGGACGTCATCGCGGTACGGCGCGAGCTTCTTGATGCCCACAATCGAGTTGAGCTCGGCGTCCGAGAGCGTGAGAATGTCGTTGATGGTCATGCCAAACGTCTCGGGCTTGACCTTGCGGTACTTGAACCGAACCGGCATGCCGCCGGCCACGTCTTCAAAGTCAAGGCCAAACAGCTCGTCGTACAGGTCGTCGAGCGACTTGCCCTTGACCTTGGCCTGCAGCTCCTCCTGCTTGGCCTTGCGCTTCTCGCGCCGCGACGCCTTGCCCTTCTTGCCCGACCCGTTGTCGTCGCCCGAGTCCGAGCCCGAGCCGTCGTCGTCCGACTTGGCGATCTTGATGCCGGCCTTGTCGAACCACTCGTCGTCGTCGTGGACGTCAAAGTCAGGCTTGGTACCCTCGTCCTCGCCGTAGTACTCATCGTTGAACAGGGCCTGCATTCGCTTCTCATGGGCTTCAGGATCAAACTCGTCGTCGATGTCGTCGGCCGCAAAGCCCTTGGTCCCGGCCATGGCCTCGAGCTCGGCGAGCTTGGCCTTGATCTCCTCCTCCTTGAGCTTCTTGAGCCGGCGGACCTCGGCCTTGCGCTGCTCGAGCGCGGCCTTCTTACGCTCCTCGCGCGCCTTGCGCTTCTCTGCCCGCCGCGTGTCGGACTTGCGGAGCGAGCCCTCGATCTTACGCGCGTACGTCACAATCTCACGCGCCTGGTCGCCCTCCTCGTGCCGGAAGTTATGGATGAGCTCGTGCGCCTCGGCGAGCTCCACCGCGTCGCGGTCGGAATCGTCGTCCACATCTTCGGGCTCGTAGTGCCCGGGCTCGTTGACAGCCTGCGACAGCGAGACCTTAGGCGCCTTCCACCCACCCTCGAGAATGTAGTTGCGCAGGAATGCGTCGTTGTCGTTGGTCTTGCTCTCGTCAAAGTACCGTGACAGCGGATGCGTCTCCGCCAGCGGCTCTAGCTCTTCCGGCGCGTGATGCACCTTCTTGAGCATGAGGCCCATGTCGCCCGAGCCTGAGCCTGAGCCTGAGCCTGAGCCCGAACCCGAGCCCGACGCGGCCTGGATGAACGCCTTGCGCAGTCGCGCCTGCTCTTCCACATGCGTCTCGCCCTTGGCCGACGCGCCCTCGTCGTCTGAATCCGAGTACGATGATGACGACGCGTTCGGGTTCTCCATTCGCTTCATCAGCTTGGCCCGCTCCACGTCCGCCAGCGTCATCTTCTTGCTCTTCTTCTTGGCCTCGGCCTCGGCTTTGGCCCTGGCCTCGGTCTCTGTACCATCAAAGAACTTGACCTCCGAGTTGTAAATCGCCGGGTCCTTGTTGCGGATCGCCTGCAGCACATTTCCGATCTTCTCCAGCACCACCTCGTTAACCTGCGACCCGTCCGAGTCCTCCGAGTACTCGTACGACGACGACTCGGCGTCGCCATACAGGTCGCGCACTGTCCCCAAACCGCGTTCCCGAACCCGATACCAGCCCACAACCATAAAGTAACGCCGTATGCCGTAAACCATGCCGCCATAGGGGGGGTGAGTCCTCGTCACCCTTTCCGCCCACCGTCTCACCTCCCCCTCCCATCCATCACCGCACCCCCCCATCCATCACCCTCCTCACCCACCACGTACGCCGCGAGAGCTCCTCATGCCGCTTCTTGGCCTCGTACTTGGCCGCAACCTCAGGATTCGGCTGGAACGAGAGGTCGCCGCCCTCGGCGTCCTCGAACAGGTCCTTGGTCTTCTTCTTGCGACGAGGCATGGCGAGCGTGAGGTGGTTGGCGTTGTCGCGGCCTCAGCCTCGACTTGGCCGCAAGACCTGGTGACAAAGTCACAAACCCCGGGCGACTGCATGGGGGGAAGGGCAAGCAACCGTCTTGGCTGTTGGCAAACCTACTCACAGGAGGCGTGTATTGGGAGGAGGTCAATGGGGCGCAGATCGGCGTGGCGCAGCAGGAAGAGCGGCCGCAGAACGAGAGAGGAGGGGGTGGGGAGGGGGGGGGGGGGGGGATGGTAGGGGGCGAGGGTGAGGGAGTACATGTCGGGCAGCATCAGCAGCAGCCCTTCTTCTTGGACGACGACGGCTCATCGATCTGGACAACCGGCTTGGCTGGTCGGGTCTCGACGGTGTTCTTGGGCAGCTTTTTGGCAATGGCGATAAAGATCTCGTTGACGTTGATGGCACCCTTGGCCGACGTTTCCAGGAACAGCAGGCCGTTGTCCTCCGCATACTGCGCTGCCTCCTCGTCGTCGACGGCGCGCTTCGAGGCCAGATCACACTTGTTACCCGCCAGCGCAATGACAATGTTGGGCGAGGCCTGTCGCTGGAGCTCCTTGACCCAGGCCTTGGCCCGCGCCAGCGTGTCTGCGTTGGTGATGTCATACACCACAATGGCCGCCTGCGCCCCGCGGTAGTACATCGGCGCCAGCGAGTTGTACCGCTCCTGACCGGCCGTGTCCCAAATCTCAAACTTGACCGTCACATCGTCAAGGCAGACAGACTGCGTCAGGAACGCCGCGCCGATCGTCGACTCCTGGAACTCTTGAAACTGGCCCTTGACAAAACGCAGCACGAGCGATGACTTGCCCACCGCAGCCTCGCCCAGTAGCACCAACTTGAACTGGAACACCTGTGCTCCCCAAGCCCGATAATTGCCCTCTTACCGTGAGTCCACTCGCCCACCCAGCCCTCCGTTCGCCTCACTCGCTTAGCTCGTCCCCCGCCCCTCCCTCCACCCCCTTCCCCTCTGCGCCCGTTCGTCCAATTCGGCAACCGCCACCAGCGCCGCCTTGAACCCCCCCCCCCCTCCCTCCCCCCCCCCCTCTCCCCTCCCTCTCACACACAAACAACCACACACATGGCCACAGCCCTTGCAAAACAATCCACCATCTATGTGCCTGCCCGTGTCTCCGCCACACCTCCTCTTCCCTCGCCCCAAGGCTCGTCGTCGCCTTTTGGTACGGCTTTTTTGGGCCGCCCTTGGAACACAGCGACGGAACGGGGCGACGGAACTGTGGACACCACGGCACCACCTACAACGTGACATGGCCTCTTGGTCGGCACATAGACTCCCACCATCCCCCCATACCGCCCCACACCACGTCACCTTCCTCCCCCTACCCCTCTCACCACCCCCACCTGCTCTCTGCCTTCACATACCTTGCCCGCTGCCATGTTCTCGGCGAGAATAAGAGACGTGCGTACCGTGCCGAATGGCGAGGAGACTGTGGCCGGTCAAAGGCCGACTCGGCCGGTCTGTCGCTGCGGCCACTCGCTCACCACACTGCCCGACCCACACCCTGTCACCCCACCCCCGCACCCCCCCCCTCGTCACTCCACCCTGCCCTCATGCTCGGGAGAAGAACACACGGAGCGACGCAACAGTGCGACTTACCGCTGGTTGGGCGTGTTCCGCGGGCGGCAGTCGTGGTGGCTCTCGTGGCCCTTGCTGTTGTCCTTGCCGGCGCCAACTGGGCGCTCTCGCGCGAGGCTGGCCACCTGCTGCACATGGCCGAGCTGGAAGCCAGCATCGAGGCGTATCGCACTCGCTCAGCCACGCTCGAGGCCAAGCTCGACTCGGAGCTTGCGGTGCTTGCCGCTCTGGACCTCCGGGTCACCGCTCTGGCTAAAGCGGCGCCGTCAGTGGCGGCATCGCGGCCGGCGCCGCCGGGACGAGGAGCCTCTGCTGGTGGTGGAACCACCATCCCGCTGGTGGTCATGGCCTGCGATCGGACCGAGTACCTCAAGCGGACGTTGGACAAAGTGGTTGACATTGTCCCGCCGTCCGACACAAACGACGCCGTCATATTTCCGCTCTTTGTCTCGCAGGACTGCCGAGACTCGCCGCGAGCATCGGCCGTCGAGGATCTCGTTGCCTCGTACGGCCGCTTCACGCTCCTCACCAACGACAACCCGGACCGCCCACGGTCTAAGCCCGGCGAGAACATCAAGTACTACTTTATTGCGCAGCACTTTCAGTTTGCACTGACGCAGCTGTTTGACGTCTACGGCTACACACAGGTTGTGCTCATCGAGGAGGACCTCGAGGTCGCGCCCGACTTTTTCGAGTACATGGCCGCCGCTCTGCCGGTCCTCCGCGCCGACCCTTCCCTCTACTGCGTCTCGGCGTACAACGACAATGGCAAGCCAAACGTGGTGGCCGATCCGCGTGCCGTCGAGCGGACAGACATGTTTCCGGGCCTCGGCTGGATGCTCACCCGCGAGCTCTGGGCCGAGCTCGGCCGCGCAAATTGGGCCAAGGGCTACTGGGACGACTGGCTCCGCGAGCCGGCCCAGCGAAAGAAGCGCTCATGCATCCGGCCCCAAGTCTCGCGCACGAAGACCTTTGGCGAGAAGGGCACCTCGGTCGGCCAGTTCTACTCGAACCATCTCGCGCACATCAAGCTCAACGACAAGCCCGTCGACTGGCGCGCTGAGGACCTCTCCTACCTTCTGAAGGACGAGTACGACGGCGCGTTGGACGCCAAGCTCGCTGCTGCCACCCCGCTCTCGCTTCCAGACTTTAAGGCGCTCGACGCCAAGGCCGGCGCCGACGGCCGCCTCCCGGGCACCGCCTACAAGCTCACCTATCCGGCTGCCGAGTCCAGCTACCGGCCGATTGCCGCCCACTTTGGCATTACCGACGACTGGAAGGCTTCTGTTCCCCGCACCGCGTATCACGGCGTGGTGAGCCTCGCCTACAAGGGCGCCGCAGTCTATCTTGTGCCGGAGCGGCCGACGTACGACTTTTAGCTTTAGTGTGTCAGCAGCTCGCTGATGGTGAACGTCCGCCGGACCGCGTTGGTCGTGCCTTCCTGGAACCGGTAGAACATGGCAGACGTCGGTTTGCGCTTGGGCTTGCCGGTCCGCGACCGCTTGGTGCCCGAGCCCGAAGCCGAGTCACCCGGCTCGCCGCCGAGCGGTGTGATTGGTGACGACGGCAGCTCGCGGCCGAAAAAGTCGCGGGCGACCGTGCGCCGGATCGGCGACGGCGTCGGCACTGCCACGTCCATTCCTGCCACGTCCGCCACTCCCGACTTGGCCGGTGTTCCCAGCGCCTGCGACGACGACTGCGAGGCTAGGAACGGCGCTGCCGCACGCTGCGCTGCCGCCTTGCGCGCCGACGCCACTTCAGCGATAGCCTCGACAAGCAGCGCCTGGACGCCAAAGAGCAGCGGGCGGTGGTTGGCAAAGTAGTTTGCAAAGGTAAAGGCCGCCATGGTGTGGATTGGCGGCACAAAGTTGTAGTATTCCTTGCCCGACGCCCGCTCGACATGCTCGAGCTTGAGCCCGTAGTTCAGACAGGCGGCGGCCACCTTGTCGAGCAGGGCCCGGTCGCCCGAGGCCATGGACGAGAGCGTGCCCGCCGGCCGGATCCGCGGCGCGAGGATGTCCAGCAGGGCTGAGAGCACGTCCTGCATGAGAACATGCGGCGGGTAGTACGGCATGAGCGCCGGCGAGAGGCCGCGGTACATGGTGTCGAGCGAGGCCGCGACCTCACGCGAGACCCGCGCCGCCGTCCGCGCCATATAGGGAAACGTCAGATGCGGCGCCGTACCGGCGGCGCACACCATGTGCACGTAGGCAGGCACGTACGGCACGTAGCGGACAAGCGCAAACGAGGCGTTGGTCATCGCGCGCGCCATCAGCTGGTCGTAAGCGCCAAACCGGTTGAGCACCGCGAGCGTCTTGTCGAGGTTGGGGTCGTTGAACGGCACGTCCAGAAAGTTCTCGTGGAGCCCGTCGATGAGCTTGCCCATCTCGCCGCTGACAGAATTCACCAGCGCCACCACTTTGCCCACCCGCGACTTACTCGACGCGTCGCGAAGTGCCGCTGCCGCCGCCATCCCCGGATCCAGCACACGCCTCGAAGTGACCATCGCGTCGGCATCGCGGTTGAGCCGCTTGGCCAGCAGCGCCGCGATCTCGGTCTTCTTGGTAGGAAGAGTAAAAAGGGCGGTCCACACGTCAAAGAGCGACCGGTCGATGTCCTTGGTGCCTGCAAGAGCCTCCTCGAGTGCACCAGGCGTCACCAGCTGCGTGTTTGTCGCCACAAACTGTAGCGCGTTGACGCACGCCCGAATGTCCGCCTCGGTTGCGTTGACCAGCAGCGTCAGCGTCGGCGCGTCGGCCACCAGGCCCTCGGCCTCACAGATCTCGCCCAGCCGCCGAGTCAGCTTGGCCTTGGGCGGCTTGCGGAAGGTGAACGTCTGCGCAATCTTGCGCAAAGGGTACATCGCCGGCACATACTGGTTGTTGCAAATCGCGATGATCGGCCGGGTCTGCGGCCGCTTGCTAGACGTTGCAATGTCAACCAGCGCGCCGATGGCCCCGGCCTCACCGGCCATCGAACCGTCGATCTCGTCGACCACAATCAGGTTCGGCTTGGCCGGGCCAAACATCGACTGCATCTCCATTGCGTTGTAAATCCGGAGCTTGAGCGCTGCGGCCGTCCGGTCGTCCGACGCGTTGATCTCCACCACATTGTAGCCGGCCATCTTGGCAAGCACGTGCGCCATTGACGTCTTGCCCAGACCCGGCGGTCCCGCAAGTAGCAGCACCTTGTGGTACGGCCGCGTCGCAAGCAGCGTCTCGCCGCGGCCGGGTGGCTCCGACCCGCCGCCGCTGCCGCTGCCACGCTCCTTACTCCCGCCGCGGCCCTCAGACTTGCTGCGATCCGAAAACGCCTTAAAGCCAGCAGCCTTGCCCTTGTCGAGCTTGCGGCCCCAGTCGTTGAACGTCGGCGCCTTGGGAGCATGCCGCTTGAAGACCAGCGGGTCCCACTCCTTGATCCAGTGAAGGACTCGTCGGTTGATGCGGTCGTCCGAGAGCAAGTCGCGAAACTTGGTCGGCGCGTAGTGATCAACCCAAAGCGCGCTCTCCGGCGCCGCGCCACGGCCTTTCTTCCACCTCGCTGCCGGCCGGCCGCGTCGCCCTTCCCGCAGTGCCTGCGCCTCGGCCTCGAGCTCCTCCAGCTCGGCTGCCAGCCGTGCCGCGGCCCGGCTCTCCAAGTTGAGCTTCAGCTCCGAGATCGGCGCGTCAAGCAGCGAGCCCGACGGCGCCATCGCCCGCGCCTCCTGCACCGCCGAGAGCTTTGCCGCGCTCTTACCGCCGCTGCTCCCATCGAGCGTGCAACCGCTGCCGACCACGTACAACTGCTCAAGCGTGCCAGGCACCGTGATCTCCAGAGTTTCTGTGCCATACCCACCGGGCTTCTCAATGGCATAGGGGAGCACAATAGGCGCCGGCCTGAGGCTCGGCTGACGGGAAAACGACGGGCGGGTGGCCACCGGCTCGGCCTCCATCAGCGAGGCCTCGTACGCCGCCATGGCCTCGTCAAACTCGTCATCATCATCCGAGACCGACACGCCAGCCAAGTCGTCGGCAAGAGCCTGCGACATCTCGCGCGCCTGTGCCGCCTCCATCGACGCCTCAAAGTGCAGCGCAAACGAGGCTGGCTCTTGCTGCGACAGCTCGCCGCCGTCCTCATCCTCGGGCACCGGGCCGCCTCCGCTGGCTTCTGCTGCCTCCATGCGAGCCCTGAGCCCAGCAAGGAAGCCTCCTGTCGCGCCGCCCGAGTGTGCAGAACGAGCCGCATGAGCCATGGGGTTACGTTCCTTGGCAATGGCCTGCATGGCCTCGTATTCCTCGTCTGGGTCGGGTTGGGTGGGTGTAGGGGGGGGGAGGGGGTTGGCGGGCAGGAGTGAGTCTGGCGCCAGAAGAATCTACCCCTGACCGGTGACGAATGGAGGAGGGGGGACAGGGGGGAGGGGGGGGGGGGGGGGGGGGGGGCATGGTCGAACCAGAGGTGTTGGTCTCTTCTTCTTCCCACTCTTTCATGCCGTTGGGCCCAACCATCAGGTAAGGTTGTGCTTGCAGGCCTGTGTTTGTGGCTGCTACTGGGAGGTCCGTACCGAGCGACGACGACATGGCCGAGCGACGAGTGGCGGCCGCACTGCGTTGGGACGACGGGACCTCTCCCGTTCACTACATTTCGGGGTCACGGCGGGTTGACTACCTCATACTTCATTTACCATCATGCCAGAGCTGCCGCTCCGCACCCGACCTCCTGTTACCGCCTCGGATGCGGGCGGTCGGATCACGTCTCGGGCTGGGAAATCGCGTGCGGCGAGTGACGGTCGAGCCAGGCCGGGAGAGCTCGCCGAAGCGGCGAGAGCCGGTGTGCTGCGGCAAGATCGCCCTCGAGGCGACTGCAGATGTGTGCGCGCCGCCAGTCGGCATATCCGTCGTCGAGAGTGAGGAGTTGCTCAAGATAGCGGAGCCCGGCGTCGACGGTGTAGGTGAGTACGTTGCGGACAGCCTTAACCTGGCGCTTGGTCATGCCGCGGTGGCCCCAGGCGAGATGAAGAAGGAGGGCAGCGACCGGACACTCGCGAGACTCGCGGGTCTCCATCACCTTGACCAGCTCCTCCAAGGTCGATGTGGTGGAGACTGCTGCCAGCTCGGCTTCGGCGACAACCACCAGCGGACCAGCCATTTGGGTTGGCGACGGCCCGAGGTTGTCGGGCGCGCCGGTCGACATCGTCCGCACCAGCTCCGAGAGCATCCACAGCAGCGCGTTGCGCACCAGCGCTTCGCCTCGCTTGCGCCGGCTCGAGTCACCCGCAGAGTACGGAATGGCTGCGTACGCCGCGGCCGACCGCCGAAGCCTCGTCCATGCTCGACCACGCACCTTGGCCACCAGCGCAGAGACCAGTCCCCGCCCGAGCGCAAGCTCGCGCGCGTCGTGCCCACTGAGCATGTTTCGCAGCAGCAGCAGCGCGTCTTCGGCGCCCAATGAGCTCTTCTCACGTGCTGCGAGCGTAAGCGCAGAGTCCAGCAGCAGCATCAGCTTCTCAAGCACCGTCGACACCCACTCGCGCCCACGGGCGACCACCCCGGACTCGGTGTCCGCACCCACGCTAGCGCCAACCGCGTCCTCGCCATCGGCGACCGTAGACACTGCCGCGCGCGTCAGGTCCACCACCAATCGCCGCACCCCGTCGACAGGACATCGCAAGAATAGCGACTCGAGAAGGTTCGAATGTGGCTGCGCGAGGAGCCGGAGCCACCACAACAGCGCGTGCTGGTTACCCGAGTACGCCCGTCGCAAGTGCTCCACCCACTCATTGAGCAGCGGCTTGCTCGCGTCGTGCGCAAGAACAAACAACACAAACTCAGTTCCCAGCAGCACTCCCGCTGGGAGCCGCAGTGAATCGAGCTCAATTGTCGTCCCACCGGCGCTGGTCCCGGCCACCTCATCGAGGTGCAGCATGTCCCACATGAAGCCGTAGAACTCACGGTTAAAGACAGACTGGACTCGAACAAGCTCCGCGTTCGCCGCGCCCATCTCCTGCCCAAACACTTCAAGCATGTTCGCGGGCGCCGCAGTGCCTTCGCGCACAGCCCGCGGCGGGAGCTCGCTTCCCACCGGACCGTCCGACGAGCTGTCAAAGCTAAACGAGCTCTGCGACCTAGCCGGCGCCGGGCCGTCGTTGGCGCAGCTTTCGCTGCTGTCGCTACCACTACCGCCATCGTCGCTGTCGCTGCTGTCGTAAGCTTCGCCCTCTATCTCACCGTCGTCGTCATCCGAGTACGACGGAAAGCCGAGCGCGGGGACACCGAGTGGAGACGGGGGTGCGATGACACCACCGGCGGCGGCGGCGGCGGCGGCGGCAACGGCGCTGGCCACCCGCGGCCGCGCCGGCGTCGGCGATGCCACTGCTGGAGGCACCCATCCAACCCGCTCGTAGAAAAGCATGTACGCTGAATATGTCGCCGGCATCCGATTGCCGTCCGGCCGCACCCGTTCTCCGCCAAAGGTGGCGTCGGGCAAATCACGGGCGTCAAACGGCTCGACAAGCGTGTCGTTGAATTCGAACCACTCGGCCGATCCGGTGCGGATGAACGAGTAGTAGTGGCCCGAGTCGGCCGAGCCGAGATGCACAAGCACGCCACGGAGCTGGTACTGAGTAGCGCCCGGCTCGCGCTCAGGATCTTCGATCATGTAAGGCGCCATGTCCAGCTCATGGGGGTACGCCAGCCGCGAGTTGATCTTAGTCCTTGTCAGCGTCATCAAATCAAAGTCAAACCGCTTGAGGTGGAGAACAAGGACCGGCGGCAGGTCGGCAATAACCAGTCGCTTGATGGCGTCGACGTGGGCGTCGCATGCGGAGCACTTGTACTGGTTGGCGCCGTCGAGCATCTCGCCCTGCACAAACAGTTCGAGGGACTCGGCAAGGTTCGCCTTGTTCTTGATTTCCAACGAGAGCGTGTAAAACGGCTCGTCGCGCTCCGACGTGTGTTCGCAGCCCTGCGAGAGGATTTGGTTCGTGAGCCGACCTGCAAAGAGCGATGAGACAAGCGCAGCCTGAGGGGTGCCCTTGAGCGCAGTCTCAAGCGAGTCAAAGAGCACGTTGAGAAACTCGTTGGCATCCTGCTGGACGGCAACGTCGAGCGGCTCGCCACCGAGCCCGGGCATAACCGCCATCAGCGCACTCGTATCCCAGTACTTGTACTGCGAGAGCGCGAGCGCCGCAAACGTGTGCTGCAGTCGAAACAGGAGCTGCCCCGGTTGCGGCGGTGCCGGCGACGGCTCGACAATCAATGGCGAAACCAGCGGCGAGACTGGAAGCGCCGTCGCGGCCTTGTGCGGGAGTGTCGAGACTGCAGAGAGCAGGCCGTCGCGGAGCGGCTGGAGGCAGAACAGCTGCTGCAGCGTCGCGTTCATGTAGCACGTTGCCCCGAGATTGATCAGACCGACGTAGCCACACCCGTCGCGGGCGAGCTTGCGAGGCTCAAACGCCCACGACGAGGCAGCCAGCGCCGACGCCGCAGACACGCACTGCTGTACCGTCCGCAGCAACATACCGAGGTTGGTCGAGCAACCGCGCGCGAGCTCGATGACCAGCGCAAAGCCGGCTCGTCGTGCTTCGGCCGTTTTGCAATGCGGCAGCTCGCCCTCTACGCCAAACAAGCAGTGGCCCATGACAAGCTCCAGCACTCGTGGGCCGTCAACGGCCTTGACCTCGGGCAGAGAGCGCATGAGCGCAGCAAGAGCCGAAAAGACTCCGACCGCCACGGCCTCGCACGCGGGAGCCGCGTCCGACCGTTCTGGCCCAATAAATGAGAGCAGCTGCTCAACCACGTCGGCGACGTCGATAAGATCGGCAAGGCTGGTACCGGATGTGTGGCCAGCATCATCAATGAGGTTGCGGAAGAGGACAAAGTACTGCGCGGCCATGGCCGGCGCCTCGGCCACAGCAGGCAGCATGTCGACAACCAGGTTGAGGAAGAGCTGCTGCGGGGAGGCCGCGTCGCATCCGCGATCAAATCCGCCACCGTTCCACGCTGCCAGCTGGTGAACACGATGCGCAACAATAGCGCGAATTGATGGAGCCTCGGCTCGCACCACCGCCGCCTCCAGCCACCCGCCGAGGTCAGGCGTCTCCAACCAGGCAGCAGCAAGGCCGGGATCGGCGAGGGCAAGGCCCAGCAGGAGCGACATGGTGTCGGCAACGCGGACAGCGTCGGCAGAGTGCTCGCTCGATCCGCCCGCCTCGGTCCGCACAATGTCCAGCAAGACCGAGACGAGCGATGCGCCGTCGATGTCGGCAAAAGCAAGGAGTGAGGGCCGGAGGACCGGGAGCTCGCCGTCGGCCACAGTCTGCTGGGCAAGCATGGTGCCTGCCTCCACAGAGGCTGGTAGAGTCGCTGTCGGGATGACAGCAGCCAGCGACCGCCGGAGCGAGTGTGCCGACACATCGTGGAGCTCGATGCCAAGAGTCGTGAGGACCCGGAGAATGTGCGAGGTCGGGCTCCTCCACTCGGCCGAGTGCTGTGCCTCGGGCGTGAGAAGAACAGAGACGAGGATGTTGACCAGCCATGAGACCCCGCCGCGAACCACAAAGGCACGCGACCATGCAAGCGCGCGCGCAGGCTCGTCGTCCGAGTCGAGAATGGAGCACACTAGCCGGAGCGAGTAGAGAAGGACCCATGGGGCGTCCGAGGGGAAGAGCTCAGCCCAGTGCGAGGTCGGCAGGCTGAGGCTCGCGCGCTGGGCTGGCGTAAACTCGAGCCGATCGTCTGGATCTGCCGCCCACTCTAAGACGGCTCCGTTCGAGTCGCGCATAATCGCCTCATACGCAGCAAACTTGGTGGCGTTGGTCGGAACAAGCGAGAGGAGCTCGAGCGTGAGCTTGGCCACCGGCTCCGAGTGAGAGAGGAGCGAGGCAAAGACGGCAAAGTTCTCTGGCGATGTCAGGACATGGCCGCCATGAGCCGCTAGCGCATGAAACATAGGTTCGGGCGTAGAGAGGCCGGATGAGATTGACGGTGACGCCTCTGGGTCCGAGCCCAAAAAGTACTCTGAGAGCGACGACGAGTTGGAGAGCGAGCGGCGGAGACCTCCGCCGCCGCTGCTATTTGGCGGCGGCACTTCGAGCGGCGAGAGCACCACACCATGCGGAGCATCGCGCGACGACCGCGGCGAGGCGGCGGACGCGAGCGCCTCAGGGCCGGCACGCAACGTCTTGGGCGGTGGATCCAACGCGTACACCACCGCTGCCGGTTCGAGATCGAGCTCGGCAAGAAAGGCTTGATCGTCAGCCGGTGCAAGCTCGCGGCCGCCCGAGACGAGCTTGAGCAGCGAGTGCGACCACGACGGAAGGTTGAGCCGGCGCGCGATGGCGGTGCGGAGGCCACCGAGACGGAGGCTGCCACGAGCGCGGATTCTGAACCGGGCCGGCGGATCATGTGCCGGAGCTACAATGTGGAGTGCAAGCGGTGGGCGGAGTGGCGCCGGCGAAGCGTTGGCGCCGCCGACCGACGTCGTCGACGACGACTCGGGTTTGGCCAGCGCTATAAGGATAGCGAGTACCCGACAGATGACGCCCTCGTTCGGAGCATTACCAAGATGCTGGATGGCGAGGCCATAAAAGGAGGCGCGCAGCTTGCGCTTGCGGCTCGGGATGTTGTGGTAGAGCGAAGCCAGGCAATCGAGCGCAAGGCTCCACACCTCGTCGTCTTGGTTGAGTAAGATAATGTCCCACAGGTACGGGAGGCCGACCGCTTTCTTGGGTTTCTTGAGGCGGTAAGGAACCGAGCCGGTGCCGTCATCGACGAGCTCGATCGACGAGTTGGCGGTGTTGACCGAGACAAAGTAGCGCTGGAAGAGCGCGTAACCCGGTGGGTTAAGCCATGCCACGTCCATGGTGTCGAGCATCTTGGACTGGAAAACGTAGCGAGAAACTTTCTCGTCAAACGCCACAAAGCTCGAGTCCGAGTCGCATCGACCAACGCGTGTCCGATGCAACCACTCGAGGGTGGCGGCGCGCTCGGCCTGGCAGGTGGCGCCCGTGACAAACGCGCGCCAGAAGGCATCGACGTGAGCTTTGGTCATGGTGAGCGACGACGAGAGCAGGATAAAGTACAGCGCGTCGAGGCGTGCCGCCACGTGCTCAGCCCGCGAGAACGGCGGCGGGAGCTCGGCTCCCGGCATGGTAGCAAATGTGACGGCGTTGTCCAGGAGCGTGCCCAGGAGGTCATGCGAGTCGTTGAGTGTCTTGATGAGCGACGAGGCCGAGGTGGTGAATCGAGAGCCCGAGGCCGGAAAGGTCTTGAGGAGCGAGACAAAGAACCGAAGCGAGGCCGGAACAGACCGGCCTGCCGTGACGTTGCCGATGGCGGCCTCAAGGTACTGCTTCCGCCGGGCGAGAAAGACCCGCTGCGAGAGAAGGCCGACAAAGGCGTCCGAGGCAACCGCCACCAGTGCCGCTGAGACACTTCCCGGCTCGATGATGAGCGACCAGAGGTAGTCAAGGCCGTAAGCGAGCGAGGCTTCGGCGCGGGCGGCAAGGCCTGCGGCGACAAGCGCAGCGAACTGGGCCACAAACTCGATGGCCAGCGCGTCGAGCTCGCCCGGTGGTGTCGCCACAATGAGCGGGTAGAGGACGTCGACTTCTGCGCGCGAGAGGCATGGGACAAGGGAGAGCAAACCGTCAAACAGAGTAGACCGGACCGACTCGTGCTTGCCGGTGACGGCAGCCCAGAGCGACGAGAGATGGGCCGGTTCGAGCTTGCCAACTTCTGCGAGGAAGCGGAAGAGTGCAAAGCCTGGCGCGATGAGTCGCGAGTGAAAGCCGACGCCAAACAGGCCTTCGACCACCTTGCCGCGCTCGAGAACGTCGAGCAGGTGCTTCGCCGGAACAGGTGGGGTGAAGACCCGCTCCGGTGCGACGCCGGCCTGGAGCGCCTCGACAAACGAGACGAGGGTAGTGAGGCCCGAGAGCCGCTCCCGCAAGTCATTTGACGGCGCAAAGGCGTCGACGGCCGTGCTGAGGGCAGCGTCGACCATGAACTCAGTGGCGCCTTCGGTGCCGAGTGCGGCCTCGAGCACAGCAGTCAGGTTGGTCTCGATCGGCCGGAGGCGCCGGAATGGAATGCCAGCATCTGAGGTACGGAGAACATGGGTCATGAGCCCCGTCGCTACCGTGGCCAGGCCGCCCGTCCACACCGTCGACCATGCGTTCGAGTCGACGTAGACGTAGGTGCGGACAAGGAGCCGGGCGACGCCGGCGAGCGTCTCCAGCGACGGTGGCGGGAGCGGCTGCGAGTCGCCATCGCCATCGCCATCACCATCGGACGCGGCATCCGAGTCGAGGCGGGATGCAAGGGCAGCGACGACGTCGCCGGTCAGCCATTCGAGCGCCACCGACTGGGCCGAGTATGTGGTGGCCGACGATGGCGGCAGCGGCGAGTCCGAGTCGGATGACTCGTCCGAGTCAGAGACCGAGACCAGGTCTGGCCCCCCTTCAGGGTCCGATGCGTAGACTGGAGCTCGCGGATGAGCGAGAACGGCGGCGGCGGCGGTGGCGAGCGGCCCGATCTCCAAGCCCGCGCCGAGTGCGGCGACAAGGGTGTCGGCCGCGAGGCGGAGGAGAGCACGCGCGGCGTCGCGGGGATATGTGCCCGCAGCATGGGCCGCCAACGCGTTGCGCGAGAGGCACGCATGCTGCAGCCATGACGGAAGAGCAGCCTTGAGCAGGTATGGATGCAGGCGCATCGACGACGACTCGGCCAGCCCCATGGCGGCGCGCAGGTGCTGGACAGTCACCGCCCGCTGTAGTGCCCGTGACGCCCCGTACAACTCGTTGGAAGCGCCGGACCGCCGCCCGGACCCACGCCCGGACCCACGTCCGGTCCGTGACGACGTCATAGCCTTGCCCGGCCAGCGCAGTTGAGTGTGCCGAGCCTGCTCCTGTATGTCGGATATGGTGCGGGGGGAGGGGGGGAGGGGCGGGTGTTCGGTCAATGGACGACGTCCTTTTTGGCGACAGGCCGTGACGGGGGGGAAAGGTAATGGATCTTTTCACAAGGGATCCCAGCTTGGCGAAGAGAGGTGGGATCGTAGGGGCAAGGAGTCGCGCGGCGCGACATCGGTCCGGTTGGGACGTCACGGGAGCCGGATGGATCCAGGGGGGCGGAAGAGACAGGGCAAAACGTCACGAGGGTGTTCGCTTGGCGGAGAGTGCATCATCCATGCCAAGAAAGGTCGGCTCGGTGATGACGAGCATCGGGCGCGGCTCGGTGCTGTTGGTAGCGGGCGGGCCCGGGGCAGGCCTGCGGGCGGCATTGGGGCGGGCCGGAGGGGCGAGGAGTGATGTCTGGTCGCGATCGCCGTCGGGGATGGTGCCCGAGGTGTCTGCGCCCGATGGTGGTGAGGTGAGGGCGTCGACATCCCCGTCGACAAGGAGCACATTGTGGCGCGACGAGTTGTCGATGTTGAGCAGCCGCTTCTGCTCGTTGGAGAGGGTGACACCATCAGGCTTGGGAAGGGCCTTGAGCTGCTTGTTCTTCTTTTTGTGCCCCTGTAGCATCTTGACCTTCTTCTTCTTCTTCTTCTTGTCCTTATCCTTGGTCTTGGTCTTGGTCTTGCCTTTGGTCTTCTTGCCGTTAGCCTTGCCCTTGGCCTTCCTCTCGCGAGACCTGCTCCCGCCTCGGCCACTGCTTGCGCTCCCGTCATCGGACATAGAGTCCTCGTCTTCGTTCCACGACTCCTCATCCTCTGAGAATCCAACGTGCTGTCCCCTTTTGCTCCTCCCCGTGGCCTGTCCGTCAGCGGACGTGGCCCGTGCGCTTGAGGAGACCGGTTCAATGCGGCGCGAGCCACCTGGCGACTTGGCGCACGCCCCGCCCATGGCTCGGACGCTTGCGTGTGTGGCGTGGAGACAGGCGTTGCCCGAGAGACCGGTGCAGGCGAGTGGTGCGTGTGGCGCTTCCGGGTGGCAGACGTGGGCCTGGTGGCGTGAGGTGTCTCGCCGTGGTGGAGCAAGGCTCTGCTGTCATGGTTGCCATGCCAATCACACGTTGCTGAATTGATGCGGTTCGCCGGCGGACCGGCTGTTGCGCCGAAACGTTGCAACGTTATTTGCCTTTGCTGATGATGGGGATGAGAGGAGGATTGACTCAGAGGTCCCACAGGGTGGGGTCGATGGCGTCGAGGGCGGAGCGGAACTTGTGGAGGAGATCGGAGACCGCGGGCACTCGCGAGGGCGCAGGATGGGGGACTGAAGAGTGGGTCGCGGCGACTGGGGCGACGACGGGTGGTGGAGGCGTGACGACAGGGGGCGGGAGCGCAGTGACTGTCGACGGTGGAGGTGGTGGGCGCGGGCGATGCGGCGATGGGAGGAGGAATCGCGAGCGGAGGCGTGGGCCGCTGCTGGCCGGGGTAATGGCTGACGCGCGCGAGGCCTTCATCAGCGAAGACAGCTGCGCGAGCCTGTCGTTGTCGGGTCGGGGCAGAGGAGAGCGACGAGGCGGGGGTGGAAGCGGGTGCAGCTGTGGTTGTGGCTGAGCTGCTGTTGCGTGGCGAAGCGGGATGTGATGCCGTGACCGTGGCAGAGGCTGCTGCGCGGGACGTGGCGCTGCAGCAGTGGCGGCCTGGATCTGCTCTAGCATGCGATGGGTGGCGTCAACCTTGGCGGCCAGAGACGAAACCGATGACGCCAGGGCAGCGGTGTGCGGGTCGCGGACTCCCGTCGAGGCCGGCACCGGGGACTTGAGCACAAGGTCGACTTGCGGCGAGCCAGCTTGGGGCGAGAATTGGATCGGCGACCATGACTGCGGCAGCGGACGGACTGGCGACGGCGACAGCTCGCGGTGCGGCGACGAGAGGCCGCTTGGCCTTGCCGAAGTAGCAGTGGTGGTAGCAATGGTGGTGGTGGAAGCAGACGGCGGTGCAGCCACGATTCGGGCGAGGAGCTCCTTTTCCGCGGCGTAAGCCGATGCCGGCGGCTGCAGCGGCCACGGCGGGAGCGTCGGATGGCGGTCTCGGCTGCGACTGCGACTGCGGGAGCGGGAGCGCGGCGGGGTATCCGGCGAGAGTATCAAGCTATGCGGCGGTGAGTTTGAGTGGCCAACGCCACCGGGCTCGTGGCGGTGGCTGTAGATGTCAGGCGCGTGTGGCTGGTGCTGCTGGTGGCGGTGGTGTGCCCAGACAGGCGCGAGGAAGGCAGAGAGGTCGGCGGAGAGGTCAGCGTTCTCCGAGGCGAGGACAGGCACGGGTGCCGCTGCCAGAGACGCCAGCTGTGACGACCGCAATCGACCCTGTCCCCTGTGCATAGCGTGGGTATGGGTGCTGATGTGGATGGTGCCAGGAGGTGGAGTGGTTGTGGTCGGCGACGACTTGCCGCTGTTTCCAGGGAGGAGGGAGGAGGCGCCAAATGGCTAGCTGATGGCTGCGATGGCTGCCCGGCTAGCGGTGATGGCCTATCCATTGGTCGATCATGGCATCTGGTCTGAGGCCACGCTCTGTGTGGTGTAGAGGCCGAAATCCGGTTTCCCTGTAGCGTCTGTGCTGGGTCAGCGGCAGCGTCATTGGCGTGGGCTACTCGAGTGTGGCCACACTCAACTCGACCCGCACGACCATGGCCGATATGATGACTCCGCTGTGGCTCGACTGCGACCCAGGACACGACGACGCGCTGGCGCTGGTGCTTGCGGCGTTTGCGCCGTCGCTGGACCTCATCGGAGTCTCCACGGTGGGTGGAAACCAGTCGGTGGCAAAGACGACGGCCAACGCCGCGGCCGTCCTCGCCATGCTGGGCATCACGCCAACTACCACCGAGTCGGCCGGACCGGCTGCTGAGAGCAATGGGGAGGAGACCAAGCAAGGTGCGATGACCAAGCGATGTGTCCTTGTGCGGGGCGCGGACAAGCCGCTCCTCGCCCCGCCGCGCGGTGCGTGCGCCGAGATCCATGGCGAGTGCGGGCTCGGCGGATCGGAGGAGCTGGATGCTGTCCGCAAGCTTGTTGCCGGCGACGTCGGTGATGGGCTGGCGGGCAGGGCTCGCGGTGAGATGCCCGGCCCAGCGGCAGTGGTGATGGCGACCGAGATGGCGCGGGTTCATGCCGAGACCGGGCGCAAGATCACTCTCGTTGCCACCGGCCCACTCACCAACGTCGCGCTCCTCTTCTCGCTCTTTCCGGTCAAGATGGCTCAGATCCTGGAGCGGGTTGTCTTTATGGGTGGCGCTTCGACTGGTGTCGGCAACACCTCGCCCGTGGCCGAGTTTAACATCCAGATGGACCCGACGGCGGCGGCCATGGTGTTTGAGAACTGCCCTGTTCCGCTGCACATGGTACCGCTCGAGGTGACTCACACCGTGCTTTACGACGAGTCGCAGGCTGCGCGGCTCGCCGAGATGGACGATACTCCATTCCGCAAGGTCATCCATTCACTCATGACCTTTTTTGCCTCCACCTACCGCGAGGTCTTTGGCTTTGACGCACCGCCGGTCCACGACCCGGTCGCCATCTTCCGTGTCCTCGCGCCAGGCGCCTTCAAAGAGGAGCACTTCCGCGTTGACGTCGAGACCGCCCGCGGCTCGCTTTGCGAAGGCCAGACCGTTGTCGACCGGTGGCACAGCTCCGGCAAGGCGCCCAACGTCTGGGTCGCCTCCTCGGTCGACACGATTGCGTTCTGGGACTGCTTGTTTGTCGCCCTAGGCCGCGCCGCGGCCATCTCGCCGCTAGCGCACCTCCTTGACTCGGCGTAACTGCGTCTCGTCGGCCGCCCTCATGGCGCGAGCGAGTTGTTGTGCAGCGCGAGATCTCGTTCAAAGGTGGCAAAGAGCTCGTCGTCGTGGCTTGATGCTGCAGGTGTAGCCTCGTTGCTCGGAACCAGCCACACCACCAGCGAGTAGCCGGAGCGGCCTTTGACCCGCGGAACCGCGACCGCGGCATCGATGCCGCGCGCCGCGCACTCCTCGCGCGCCACCCGCGCAATATCCGGCCACTGCCGATGCGAGGTCTCGGTAAAGAGCCAGAGCGCACCTGGCGGGGAGGCTGCCAGTGCGTGCCGGAAAAACTCGTAGTCGCGCGCCCGCAGCGCCACGCGGTTCTCCTCGACCACAAACGAGACAATGACAAGCCCGGCAAGCGCTACTGCGGGAAGCACAGACGCGTTGACTGCCTCGGAGGTGCCGACCGTGATGTCGCACCGTGCAAAGGTGCACGAGTCGGCGCCGTCGCCTGCCACCGGAAACGCATCGGCCGTGCGAGCAGCAACCGCGTCAGCGAACGGCTCCCACTGCACCTCGTAGTCAAAGATGTGTGCAGCGAGTGGCAGCCGTGGTGCCGCAAACATCCGCACCGACGCCAGCGCGGTGTAGTCAAAGGCTGGCCCGCCACCAAACGAGACGACTGCAAGCGAGTCCGACCTCGTCCACAGGCTGTGGAGCGCGCGGAAGAGCCATGGCCAGTGCGGCGCGTGAGGAATGACCAGGAGGTCGGCGACCCGCGACGCTCGCGAGACCAGATGCCGCTCGATGTAGCCAGCGAGCGCGCCGGGGTGGGTAAAGTCCGGCATGATGCCCGCGGTGGCGCCAGCGTTGAGTGCGCGGACGAGTACGGCGGTCGCCTCGGCGCAGACCGGGACGCCGACCGCGGCCACAGTGGCCGTCTTGACGCCCTCCATCCGCCGCTTGCTCCATGCAGCCCATACCCTGCGCATCGTCCGCCGCATGTCGTCGGCGCACCCAGCGAGGCTCAGCACGCCGTCGGCGCTCACGGCCCGCAGTAGATCCATGGCCTTGAGGACAAGCGCGTCGGCGCTCTCACCGTCGGCGGTACCGTCCGCCTCGGCTAGCATCGCCTTGACTCCGCAGGTCAGCACCGGGCCCGGACGGGGCCATCCGCCATCGGCGGTCACCACCTCGATGGCCAACTCGTTTGCACCGCCCTTGACCAGAGCGCCCATCAGTGAGAGTACAGCCTCGTCTGCGTCCGCCACCTCGACTGTCTCGTCACCGCCGGCGCACACCGCCCGCCAATAAGCAACGGCCTCGGCATGGCGTCCGTCCTCGGCCAGCGCCACCATGGCCTCCCAATCTGACGCCATAGAGGTATAATTGGGTGGAGATGGGTGGGCGTGTGGGCGTGTGGGCGCGTGGGTAGGTAAGGGTGCCCGACTCCTCCCCCTTCTCTCTCTCTCTCTCTCTCTCTCTCTCTCTCTCTCTCTCTCTCTCTCTCTCTCTCTCTCTCTCTCTCTCTCTCTCCTTGGTGCACACGAACACTGCTCTCTCTCTCTCTCTCTCTCTCATCCTCCCTCCCCTTGCGTGGGCGGGTACTTGTTGGCGACGGGGGCAGACCATGTCCGCGCCGGCTGCGCGGCTGTATCGGTACTTTGCGGCCACGGCGCCTGCGGCGTCGGCTGGAGAGGCCGAGGACGGGGGCGTGGGCTTGGGCCTGGGCCTGGGCCTGGGCCTGGGCCTTGGCGGCGTCGACGGGAATGGACAGAGAGAGAGGAGCATGTCGCGGGCGGCAACGCCGCTGCGTGCGCTGTCGGCGGTGCCAACAGGCCGGGCGCGGGCGGCGGAGTACAGGGTCGGGCGGCGGCGGGGCGGGCGGTGGCGGTGGCGGGAGTACGGGGTGCCGGGCGCGCTGGTACTGATCTGGCTGGTGCTGGCGATTGTGCCAGCGGTGCTGCTACTGGGGCCATCGGGCGGTGCGCTGTGTGAGTTTGACTTTCGCGACGATGCCACCAACGTGGCGACGGTGCTGGCGCTCGACGCGCTGCTTGTGGGCATGATGATGCGTGTGGGGTGGGCGGCGTGTAGCCATCGCGCCCTGCTCCCGGGCTCGGTCACGTGGGGCCTGCTTCTCGCCTGCCAGGTCGGTTCGCTCACGCTCTACTACCTTCGCAAGGTGATCACCACGACCGACGCAACGTGCGGAACGGCCACCTTTGCACTGGCGGTCATGGACACTCTCGTCAAGTGCGCCAACGTCTACTTTCTGATGGCATTCTACACTGATGTGGCGCTCTCGGTCCCGGAGCTCCGGCTAGTCCTGCTCTTTGTAGTTGGCGAGCTGCTGGTTCTTCCTGTTGCCGGCATTGCCTTTCTCGAAAACGCCACCCACGTCGACGCGGCGACAGGCCTGCTCAAGGTCGATTGGGCCATTGCATGGATGATTGGCGCGTTGGGCGTACTCGTCACTGGCTTTGTCTGTGTATTTCTCGCCGCCGAAGCCTACGCCTCGCGCAACATCATCCGCCGCCTGCGCCTTGTCCTCTACACCTTTGGCATCTTCTTTGCCGTCCTCTCGCACCTGGTCACCTTTCTTGTCGGCCGACTCGACGGCGTCTCGCGCCTGTTCTTTGTCGTTCTCTTCCTCGGAACAGCACTCGTGTGCCTTGCCACCGAGCTCAATGCAGCCTCGATCCGCACCCGTATTCCGATCCTCGCCCTCGCCTTTACTGCCGTTTTCGTTGTCCTCCTCGCCACAACGAGTCCCTAGGAGCCGGCGCGTTAAACTTGGCTTGGCATGCATCGACAAAGTAGCCGCGGGCCTGCGATCAGAGCTGTGCAGCAGAGAGGCGGGCACCTCGTGCGGGTGTGACACGTGCAACGCCGAGTACACCCTCGGTGCGAAGGCGATGCGGATGTGCGATGCAAACTCAGCGGTGTCGCGCTCGGTGGTGATCTGCACGCTCTCTCCGTCCTCCAGCGCACGCCAGTCCGACAGCCCGACAGCCCGGTATGACGCGCCACCACCCCACTTCCCCCATGGACCTCCCACCGGGCTTAGTGTCGGACACCCACTCGTCGTCTATCCCGTCGGCGGCTGAGGTCTTCCTCCCACCGCCGTCGCTGCACCTGGCCGGAAGCACCGGGGACGAAGCCGAACACGTCGACGACGACGACGGCGACGACGGCGACCACCAACACCACCAAGAGTCACGACACGAGGAAAACGTTGGCTCAGCCGCTGCTGCTGCGTCTCTTTTTAAAGCCTCTGTTGACAACTACGCTGGGAACGACGACGACGATGATGATGGCGACGACGGCGACGACGACGGCGATGACGATGACGATGACGACGGCGACGACAGTAGTGACCAGGAAAGTTGCGAGTCTGAGCCGATACCGGCGCAAAGTGTGGCGTGCCCCTCGCTGCTGGCGATTGTGGTATCCGAGTTCCATGTGGTGCGCGGGCCGCGGGTGCTGTTTGCGGCACCAGCGGGAGCGATGCCGCCGTCTGCGTTTGTGCGGATCAAGGAGTTTGTCATTCCCAAGCCGGAGCTCTTCCACAAGCTGGTGGATGTGGCGGTGCCGGCGCACGGCCTGCGGTTGCTGTCGATGGCCGTGAATCTGGAGAGCGAGCACTATCCACGCAACAACCTGCTTTTCAATGTCGCATTTGTGTTCACGCCGCGGGCCGACACGGCGCCGTTCCGTCCACTGCTGGCCAAGACAGCGGCGTTTCTAACGGCGCTCGAGAAGGAGAGTGCGTTTGTGTCGCGGCACACCAACATGCTCATCGAGGACGAGGACGAGGCAGGCGAGCCGTCATCGCCGGCATCGCCGACCGCGACATCGGCCGAGACCGAGCCGCTGCTTGCGTTGGTCAACTCAGTCTTTGCGCAGCTCCGCGAGTCCGGCTCGGCCAACGTGACAGTTGACGAGCGCAACTCGCTGTTTCTCTCGCTGGACGTGTCGGTGGCAGCAGCGAGTGATCGGGCAGCCGAGGTGCGGACGTGGGACGTGCCGCTGCTGGTTGCTGCTCTACCGCCGCAGCCGCTTCTTGACGAGTGGGGTATCGCCCTCCTGGCCGTCCTTCCGTTTATCGACGGCTTCAACTACGTCAAGCGCATTGCGATGCTTGCCGGTATGGCCGAGGACCTCGCTGCTGAGGCCTGTGCTGCGCTGGTTGCTGCCGGCTACGTGGCGCTCGTGGATATCTTTCAGTTCTCCAACGTCTACCACACCACCCCTGTATTCGACGCGCTGTACGAGCCTGGTTCGGCCCTAATGGCGCAGGCGCAGAGGGTGCTGGCACCGCCCGGCGCGCCGCCGCCATCGCGCAAGACTGTGCTCGAGCTGTACGCCGCGCTCCGTGCGCCGCGCACGCTCTCCGAGTTTTGCCTCTCGCACGATCTCGACGCGCTCAACATTGATGTCCTTGTCCTCGTCCGCTTTGGCATTCTGCACGGCATCCTCCGCCGCGTCCATCGCTACGTTCTCGCGCTTGAAGATGCCATCGACGCCGCCTCTGTCCCACCGGGCACGCTTGCGGCGTCGGTGGCGGTATCGTCACCCGACAAAATGCGCAGTAGCCGCAGGCGCGGCCGTGGCGGTAGCGGCGGCATGCCGGGTGGGGCACGCCGGACTTGGGATGCGCTCTCCCCGGCGCAGGCCGCCGCCTTGGTGGAGATGGCTGATGGCCAGCACCACTTTGACGCCATGTGTACCCAGCTCATGGTCCCTGCTGCCCAGCTGGAGGATGTCTTTGCCGCGGACACCTTTGTCACCTTTCTCAAGTAGCATGCAATGGGCTGGTGGCTAACTCTTTACGGTACAGCGTGATCACACCTGTCCACACCCTCATACACCCGAGTTTGCTTCTGCACCCGATGTCACTGCGACGGCACCGCGATCCCCGCCAGCTACCACACGGTCAGAGCGAGTTCGACGCCAGTCGGCGCGTGCCAGGGCTGGCAAGAAGAGTGCGCACTGCGGATTGCGTTGATCGGCACAGCGCATCATGCTGCGGCGCCCTTTTGCAGCGAGATGTACGTCACGTTGTTCCCACGGAGAAAGGCATCGCCGTACGCCCGTGTCTTCTTGCCATTGACAAACTCCTCGGTCTGCTCCAGCACCAGGTTCATGAACCCGTCGAGCGAGGCGAGCACTCCTGGGCAGGGGGGAGGGGATGGGTAAGTGGGTGGGGGGTACGTGGGTGGGGTACGTGGGTGGGGGGTTATGTGGGTGGGGTGGGGTGAGTGCTACTGAGGTGCCGCAGCTGGCGCTGGCATGGCTGTCCCTCTCGCTACCCCTTCCCCCTTCCCTCCCCCCCCCCTGCCTCCCCTGCGCACACATACCTTTGTACACCACACCCGTGTCGAGCTTGACCTCCACAGGCCGGCCCAGAACGGTGGCCAAAAACTCAGAAGGGGTCATGGTTCTGTCGAGAGTCGTGTGCCGTCGCCGTCGCCCGCCCTGCCCTGCCCCGTCTCTCTCGCTCTCCCTGCCGCCCAACCCCCCCCCCCCCCAACCACCCCTCAACCCTCCCAACCCCGAACCGCAACGCCACAACTCGGGCGACCGAACGTACCGAACATGACGAACGAACGAACGAAGGAACGAACGAATGCGGTCAATCCCCTCTCTGTCACCCCCCTGCCCCGCACTTGCCACCATCACGCACACACACGCTCACACGCACGCATCGACCAACATACACACGCATCCTTGAGACCGTAGAGTCCAAGTTGGTGTTTCTGTGTTGGAAGCTCTTTCCACGCGTCTGCTGGCCTGCCGAGTCTGCGGTCGTTTGCTCCGTGGTCGAGGCTGCTGGCACTGCTGCGGCTCACGGCCCACTCCCGCATGTCACGCCATCGGCGCCGCACGGTGCTCGCTGCTGCGGCTGCCCTGGTAGTGTGGCTCGCCCTTGCAGCACCTGCTGCCACCTGTGACCCACCATATGTGTTTGATCCCTCGTCGGACGGGACTACCATCACTGCCGGCAACGAGCTCGACGTTACTGGCAAGGGCGTCGGCATCACCTGCTCACTCGACGCGCCGTGCACCTTTACCTTTGTTGCCACACACACTTCCGCATCGCCGTCGACGTACCCGCTTGTCAGCACACAGTCTGCCGTCGTCAGCGGCATGCCCTTTGACTTTGCCTCGCACGTCTTTACCTTTACCGCTGCCGGCGAGTACGACATCGTCGTCTCGGTCAACTCGTCCGAGTCGGCCAGCTGCGCCGGCGGCGTGCATCCGGCCTCGGCCCCGCGCGCAATCGTTGTGTACCCGAGGCCAGACGGTAAGCCGCGGCTCACCGGGCTGCGAGACGTGGCGGTTGGCGAGCCCATCGGTCTCGCCGTCGTCAACATCACCGGCGGCTCGCTCCCGTTTGTCGTCGAATGGTGGCTCTCGCCGTGGACCGGGCCCACGCCGCCGCCTTCGCCGCCACCGACAACGATCACACCGTCATCTAGTGACCTGCTCCTCGGATCAGGTGTGGCTAACACCGAGGCCGAGGCCCGTTACACCCGCCCGCAGCTGCCGAGCCTGGCCTCGGTTCAGGAGTCGGCGCTCGACGCTGGCGCGCCTACATCCTTTCTCGCCTACGCCACCATCGAGAACGCCGAAGGCGGCGAGGCCATCTTTGTTGCTGCGCAGCCCGCGTTCATTACCGCATATCCGCGGCCAACCATTGCGGGCGCCGCACTCGCCACCACCAAGTCAGTGACATCCACGCCGCTCACCACCGTTCTCCCCAGCCTCGGAACTGTCAGCGATGCCATCTGGCCCATCAACGTCACCATCACTGTCCGCGACGGGAGCAGCATCGACTCGGAGACAACTGCAAGCGTGGCGTCGCAGGCTGAGCTCGACAGCCACTCCTGGGCAGGCGTCCAGCTGCCGAGCCTCCCCAGCACCGACATCTACATCGACATCGACATTGTGTCAAGTCCGCGCATTGCAAGCATCCGACAGACGCTCGGCCCGCTCGAGACCCGCGCTCCCTTTGTAACCAACCTCTCCTTTGCAGCCCCCATTGTCGATGATGGTACCGGCACCTTCTTTACTACCCTCGGCGCCAACCTTACCCTCGATTTGAGCATGACCGGCGGCTACCCGCCGTACACAGTCTCCAACTGCCAGCTCCGTGGCCGGTCGGCGTCCAATCCCGCCGAACCGCCCATAGTACTTGTGCCCAACCGCAGCCAGCCGTTTGCCACGGGCGCCTCTCCTGTCGCCATCACGCTCGGGTATCCGCTCTCGGCGAGCCTTCTCAGCTCGACATCCGGTGACACTCTCGTCTTGTACGCCTCGTGCTCCGCAGTTGACTCGGTCGGCTACTCCCGCGAGCTCAACTCGACAGCACCGCACGAGCTTCACGCCCATCCGCTCGCCCTCACACCGACCGTGGTGTTCGACACAAGCGTCCCAGTCGTTCTTGGCGTCTCGACAAATGTCTCAACCGGGTCGGTGATCGGCGGCACAGCGCCGTTCTCAGTCGCGCTGCGGGTTGAAGAGATCGGCGGCGGAGGTTCGGGCCTTGCCGTAGCGCCGCTCTCCCATGGTGGCCGCTTTGGCGGCCATGCCGACGGCCCACTCATTGTCGACTCGCCGTTTTTGCCTCGCGAACCCAGACCTCGGGCTCGGCCACAGTGTTTGTCACCGTCCGCGACGCTGTCGGTGTCGACTCGCGCCCACCCATCAGCCGCGGGCCGGTCACCATCATCGCCCGCCCACAGGGCGTCCTAGTGCCCGGCGTCAACGGCGAGACCACGGTGAGTGTCCCCACTCCGATCCGGGTCGTCAACGTGGTGGGCGCAGCCACGGCCGCAATGCACCTCACGCTGACGGACACCCATCGCCACCTCTCTGTTCCGCTCTACGACACACCTCCTCCGCTCTTGCCGGTCAATGAGGAGCTTGGCGTCATCGAAGCGCCGCACGTCTTTGACGAAAGCTGGCTCGTCAACGCTTCGGCGGGTACGGCGGATGTCGCCGGTTTCTTGATCAACAATGTCGGCACGACCGGTGCGCCGCTGGTGACCACCGCCCTCGTCATCAACCCATACCCGCGAGCCGCGTACGCGCTGACCTCAAGCGAACGGCTCCACACCTCGATCACACCCGACTCGGTGCTCCGCGACGGCCTCCTATTCAATGCCACGCTCAACGCAACAGGTGGCACATATCCGCTCCGCATCACCGCGATCATCCGCAACGCGTCTGAGCCTCTCTCGACTGGCGTGGCCCTTGAGGCGCCATGGCTGGTCTCGTCTCCGATGGCCGACACATCGTGGGTGTTTGGCGTCCGCGACACCGTTTGGGACGCGCTGGTGATGGACAACCCGAGTGTCTGCTCCCTCGACGCCCGGCTCGGCATCCGTGTCGAGGACGCAGCCGGTGCTGTTGTCGAGGCCATGCATGCCGAGGCCGTAACAGTCTTTGCTCCAATCCGGGTCAACACCTCGTTTACAATGGCCTACCTCGATCTGGAGCTCAACTATGTGGCTTCTGGCGGAGCACCACCGGCCGAGCTCCGATGGACCCTGCACCAGCCAACAAGCGACGGAAGCGCGCCGACCGATGCACAGCAGGAGTCAACACCGCTGCGCTCCGGTGCAGTCGCGCTCGACTTTGCCTTTGGCCGGCAGACCATCGCCCAGCTGGCGCCCGAGCTGGCGGCTGATCCGGGCCGCCTGGTGGTCCAATACGTGCTTGTCGACGCCAATGGAATGGCCCTTATGTCGCGACAGCAGGCGGTGATGGGCCGCCTGCTCCCGAGCGACTACATCGTCAACCGTAAGCTCTCCACACTCGGCTTTGTGCTCCTCATCCTCCTCGGGCTCTGCTGCTGCATTTGCTGCATCATTCTCGTTTTGCTTGCGCTCGCGCGACGCGAGCGAGCTCGCAAGGCCAAGGGCGCGGTGCTTGACTCGGAGTCGACGCCAGCGTCATCGCTAGCAGGGACAGAGCCCATCGGGACGCTTCCGCCGCCGCTCTCACCTCGCGGCACACCGCGGGATATGGTCTATGTGCCGCCGCTCCCGCCCAAGGGAGCGGCGAGCCTTGCGCCGACGCCACGCGCTACGACGCGCCTTCCGCCCACCCCATCGCCGCGCCTCCCGCCGCTGCCGACATCGCATTCGTCGGATCTCGGCGACACAAGTGGCTCGTCATCGTCAACTGGTTCGTCGTCGTCGTCGTCGTGGGAGGCGCCCGAGGATGCCAACAGCCAGCTGTCGTCATCGCCGTCATCACCATCATCGTCGTCACCGAGCGCAATGCCGCTGCCCCATGCGCTACCGCAGACAGCAACGACTGGTTCTGCATCGTCGTCGTCGTTGTCGTCGTCGTCGTCGTCATCATCATCGTCGTCGGTATCAGAGCTGGAAATGCGACTGGTGGCGCCACCGCCAGAGCTCGTTGGCAAGCCACCGGTTGTGCCGCCAAAGATGCCGATGCGGCCGACGACGGCGCCAGTCGGGCGGCAGCAGAGCGTGCGCCGACGGAGTCGCAACCTCTCGACTTCGCCCATAGCCAACCGCCCGGGAGACATTGCTGAGCTCGAGACCACCCCTGAGCGAGAGCCGTCTCCGATCATCACGCCCAATGAGCTCCGCGAGCAGGAGCAGTTTGTCTCCGAGTCGGTGCCCAACTTTAGGCACGCAGACGAGGCAGACGCGAGTGCCGGCATTCGCGAAGCCACGGGTGGGATGTTGGGTTCCGATGAGCTCGACACTCTGGACCAGATGACATCGATGGCCGGCATGGACGAGGTATGGGCGGCGCACCTCGGCATCGCCGGCAGTGGCAGCACCGGACGGCGGACGCCCGACGCCTTGAGCATGCACGCTCGAGTCCCGGCCGTCGTTCGGCGGCACTCGCGCAGTGGCTCCGCCTTTGGCTCACGCACGTCGTCGCTGGCATCGCTGGCATCGCTGGCGTCAGTTGCCGACGCCGCCGGCGTCACCGACGGAAATCTTCGGCGGGGACAGGCCCGGGTCCTGGAACGGACAAACTCTGTCGCCGACTACCTACCGAGCTCAGGCGAGTAAATTACGCAGAGCAGCTGTCAATGAGGCTGTGCGTGGTGAACAGCGTTAGCCTCGAGGAGCAAATTGTGCATGACACGCTGGAGGCGGAGCGCGATGGCGTTGTACAGAGCCTCGCGCTCGTCGCGCGGCAGGTCCGAGACCGATCCCGGGGCGTAGGCCGCGAGCAGATCGTCAAAGGCAACAGGCTCGCCGACAACGATAGTAACGGCCTGGCCAACCGACGGGACGACTGAGCCACGGCCGGCGAGCGTGTGCATGCCCACGTGGACGAGCGGGAGGACGACAGGGGTGACCGGCGGGTCAGCGACGAGCCGGCCGATGCCCGGACGTAGCGGAAGCATGGCCGGCGGGAGGGCGGTGCGAGTACCCTCGGGAAAGAGGTGGATCCACTCGCCAGCAGCCACTCGCGCCACCACATCGTCCATGTACGGCTGGTACATGCCGTCGCCGCGCTGAACAGGAAGGACCCTGCCGAGCGAGAGGATCTTGCCGATGACAGGGTGGAAGAAGCAGCGGTTGGTGGCGCAGAGCGTCGACCGCAGCTTGTGGGTATCCCACAGCCACATCCACGGTACAGCCGCTGCCACCGTAAACGGATCATCGTAAATCGAGACGTGGTTGGAGACGGTGACCAGCCCCACACCCTCGTCGCGCTCCTCGACTGCCGCCACCAGCCGCTCGCGGCCAGAGACCTTTGTCGACGAGAAGACCTGCATGAACAACCGCGAGAGTCCGCCTAGCACCCCCACCACCGCCCGCTCCATCCACGGCGAGCTCGGCTTGGCTCCAGGCGCCCGTTCACTGCTGTGCTCGGTCGCCATGTCCGCGATGTGCCAGCGGTTCACGTTGTGTGATGGTCGATGGACGGCAGCCACCCGGCCGCCTCTCCCGTCACCCGCCCGTCACCCGACTACCACCCGCTCGCTGCCGTCTCGCTAGCCCGCACTCTGGTCACATCACCAGCCCCACACACCCCACACACCCCGCACATACGCACTCATACTCCATTCCCCGTCCCATCGCGATCGAAATACTCCCATCACACACACACACCACCATCGCCCCACATCCGATCGTTGCCAACGTGGCGCGCCAAGCCGATCGATCGCGAGGGCGACCCGCCAAGTCGCGTTAGGCGAGACAAGCAAGGCGGCCGAGCGACAGGGCAAGACGAAGCAGGGTGGGCAGACTCGACTTTGTCGTACACTCGTGTTACAGGGAGGGCGTGACCGAGGAGATAGGGAGGATGAGCTCTGTCAATGCGGTTGTGGAGGCGCTGCAGGCGGTGCAGCAGGAGAGTACGCCGAACGAGGTCCGGATGAACGCCCAGCAAGTGCTGGAGGAGTTCAAGTCGTCGCCGGCGTCGCTCGAGGTTGTGACCGAGCTCATCGGAGTGGAGCACGACTCGATGGTGCGGCACTTTGGCCTCACCATCATCGAGAACGCGCTCAAGTTTCACTGGAAGGGCTTTGACGTCGACCAGCAGGCGTCGCTCAAGCAGCTTGTGTTGCAAATCATTGCGTCGGGTACCAAGTCGCTCGGCGAGGAAGAGTACTACATCAAGTCCAAGCTCATCGACTGCCTCCTTCTTTGCATGCTCCACGACTGGCCGCAAAAGTGGCCGAGCCTGCTGAGCGACTTGGTGGAGATTGGCTCGCAGTCGGACACGCAGGCCGAGTTGGTGCTCAAGGGCCTGTTTGACTTTTCCGAGTACCTTATCCGGCTCAACAAGATGGGCATTGTGCGGTCGCGGTCGCAGGTGACGACCATGCGGCGCAAGCAGCTCTGCACCTCGTTCCGGTCGGCCATGCCGGACCTCTTTCCGTTCCTGCACTCGGTGCTGGCCGGTCAGGCTCAGCTGTACATCGAGGCGCGCAACGTGCTGGAGTCCGACCCGTCGAATGCCGAGGCGCATGCTGCGGCGTCGTCCAAGGTCATGATTGTGCAGATTGCCATCAAGTGCATTGCGCAGTTTTTGCTGTGGATCCAGTGCGACATGCTGCAGGAGAGCCCGGTACTCCCGCTGGTGGTCCCGTTTCTGGGCGACCCCAACTTTGCGCCGGACGTGGTGCTGGTCATGAAGAAGCTGCTCTTCCGCAAGCACCTCCGGGCCAACGAGCCGTACGTCATGGAGCTGTTTGACTACATTCCGCAGATCTTCGGTCTCCTCTCGGAGCCGCTCTTTGAGTCGCTTGCCGACGTCCACAAGCTCAACTCTGCTGCCATCGGCGTTCTCGCCGAAGTTGGCATGCTGCAGCTGCGGCTGTGGCGGCGGGCGCGGTCGGACCGCAAGATCGACCCGGATGCGCCCGAGCCGAGCCTGCATCCGCACTTTGGCTCGTTCGTCGAGTCGCTGATGGCGCTCTCGGACGCGCACCCGAGTTGCGACGTCCAGACCACGCTCATCAAGTTCTGGCGGCGGTTCCTCGACTCGGGCCTTGTCGACAAGTCCGAGAGCGTCGGCGAGTCGGACGTACTGCAGGCCATTCTCTCGCTCGCGCTCAAGTTTCTCGCGCAGCCGGACCCTTTTGACGCCGAGGAGGGCTCGATGGCGCTCGAGCTGGCCAAGCTCGACTACAACAACGCCGAGGAGGGCGCGGCAGCCAAGAAGGGCCTCGAGCGGCGGGCTGCAGGCCTCATTGCCACGCTCACTCGCCGCGACGGGCATGGCATGGTGGCGTACATGACGCAGTACCTTGCGCACCTCTTCTCGTCGCTGCCGAACGATGCTGGCATTGGCGAGGACGACGAGCCTGCGCGCGAGCTCCGGGCCCTCTGTCTCATGTCGTCAACGATCATTCGATCGTTGCCGCGCAAGTGCCTGGTGGCGCCGGATCCCGAGTCTGATGCGCACTACCTCCTCGCCCGCGAGTCGGACTCGGACTCGGATGATGGGCTGTTCTCACGGACGGCGCTGGTGATGACGCCGCAGGGACTAGCGCGGGCGCGCGGCAGTTCGTCCGGTCCGCAGGGCGCCGAGGCTGAGGCCGCAGCGCGGGCGGCGGCGGCGCGGCTCGAGGCCGAGCGGGCGGCCAACTGCGAGGCGATTGCCGGCGCGCTCCAGGGCGTGCTCGAGTTCTCCCATCCGTCCAAGGCGGTCATCGCCAACCAGCTCCGGCTCCTCACCTCATTCACGCCGTTCCTCAAGCACTACCCGGACCAGCTGCAGGAGACGTTCTCGCTCGCGTTCAGCTACCTGACGTACAAGGACCCTTCAGAGACGGAGGCGCCAGTCTCGGCGCTCACCGAGGCGTCGGTGGAGATCCGCGGCAAGGCGGCCAAGGCGCTGCACTCGATCATCATCTTTGTGGGCGAGAAGCTTGCCGGCCAGCTCGAGGGCCTGTGGACCCAGGTCCAGGAGCTCGACGAGGCCGACCAGTTACGGCACGAGGAGAAGGCATGCGTGTACGAGCTGGTCATCATTTCGGCGTCCAAGTCGCGCGACGAGGAGCTGCAGCGGGCGGTTGTCTCGACCATTCTCGAGCCGCTCCTTGCCCAGTGGAACTCGGACGCGTTTGCCGGTGCGCTCAGCTCGCCGGAGGCCCTGCTGTCGTCGCTAGGCATTCTGGGCAACGACCCGTCGGCGCGCGGCCAGCTGTTTGCCGAAGAGCATCTTGCCTTTCGGCGCGACGTGTACTTTGTCGTCACGGTGGTGTATGTGGTGGCAAAGTGGTCTGCATCGTGGCGGTCGCGTGCGCTGCTCCCGCACCTCAACACGCTCCTCCCCTCGCTCCTCTCGCTGATCACGACGCTGCACGGCGTGTGGCAGCCGGAGGTCCTGGCCAACGTACCGGAGTTCTTCGAGTCTGTCTTTGCGCTGCCTGACGAGACACCAACGGCGACGCTGGCGCGGGCGTCGTCGCTGCCGTCGCACGAGCTCGACGCCGGCTCGCAGCTGCGGCTCTTTACGTACTGGATGGACTCGGTCTTTTCGCGAGCGTACTCTGCGCTCGGCTCGATTGCCAAGATCCGCGACCTGTACGAGCAGGGCGACCTGGCCGCGATGCTCTCGGCCTCGGTCTTTTCAAACCTGCCTGTTCTCCCGAACCGGTACCTGGTCGGTATCACCATGTCGGTCATCTGTGCCCTCTTTCGGATGTGTCCGTTTGCCATGCGCGAAGCCGTGGTTGTGCCGATCCTCGTTCCGTGGATTGAGTTTATGCAGGAGAAGCTTCCGGCCGAGTGGGGCGCGTTCTACGAGCGCGAGAGCTCGGGCTCGACGCTGACGCCCGCCGAGGAGGTGCTTGTCGACAAGGACCTCGGCATGCTTACCACGTGCCACGCTCGGTTCCTGCAGACGATCTCGTTCCGGCTGCCGCGGTACCCGCGCGACAGCGACAGCAGCGAGGCGCCAGCAGGCTCGACACCGCGGCCGCAGCTGTCGGGCATGTCGCAGATGCCGAGCCGTGCGCCGCCGCATGTGCTCGAGTCTGAGCCGCTGCGGCTGACGTACCTGCAGTCTGCAATCATGCTTGTGCGGACGCCGACGCTCTCGGCGGTGGCCATTGCGGTCAACGTGTGCTCGCGGCTAATGCTCCACGTCTCAAACGTCTCCGAGTACCAGTACCTGCTCTCGTCGGAGCTGCTCCCCGCGCTCATCGAGGCGCTGGCTCACATCGAGGAGGAATCGGTCATCCGCAACATCCTTGCGCTCATCATGGAGATCTACTGCCGGTTCACCGAGGTCGTGCCGGACGTGACCCGCGGCGTGCTCTCGGCGGTGCCGGATGTGACCAACGAGACGCTGGCCGAGTTTGAAGGTGCGCTTCAGGCGGCGTCGAGCTCGCGGGCCCGGCGCGAGCTCTTCCGCCAGCTCCTGGCCGGCGTCATTGGCTCCAACGTGGTCCACAAGATGTACGAGCGCGGCTCGAACGAGGACACCACCATCGAGCACATTGCTGCTCCGAGCCGCTCCGAAGCCGGCAACGACGACGAGACCATGGGTGCGACGGCCGGCGGTCTCTAGTGGTTGCGCGGTGTCGCGTGTAGAGTTTACTTGGACTGCACGAGCTCGTCGAGCGCAACCTCAATGCGGCGGTCAAGAGCCTCGTCGACCCATCCCGCGTGCTTGATGGAGGCGAGGCTCTCGAGACATGCCGCGAGATGGGCCTGGTCGCCGTTGAGGTATGCATGACGGGTCCTCTCGTACGCCATGTACGTGAGGAGGCGTGTCTCGACGCCGCCGTCGCGGACGTCGGCCTCGCGGGCGGTGGCGGCATCGAGCTCGTTGGCGGCAATGTCGAGTGAGCCTGCGGACGCAGCGGCGGCGCCACGGAAGAGGTGCATCTTGTAGGCGGTGACCGGCTCGGTGACCGGCGCGCCGGCGGCGGTGAGGTTGGCCTCGGCTAGCGGGCCGTTGAGCAGCTGTTGGGCAGCAGCCGGTGCGAGAGTGTGCAGGTGGTTGCGGAGAAAGGCGACCTCGAGCGGGAGTAGGGCCAGGCGGGTGTGGTCGTCGGCGTACCAGCTCGCGAGCTGTGCAGCGGCGGCGTCGTACGGCGAGCCCTTTTGGACGTGGCCGGGCACGGCCTCGAGCGCCGCGAGCGTCTCGGGGCTCTCCGGGCCGTTGGCTCCAACGAGGGCGGAGGCGAGGAGTAGCGTAGCCATGCCGCGGTTCTCAAAGGCGGCGCCGCCGTCGACGACGGGCCGGAGGACCTGAGCAGCACCCGCGTAGTCACCGGTAAACAGCAGCGTCTCGGCAAGTTCGACGAGGTAGTGATGCGGAGGGGCGGCGCCCGAGGCGGTGACTAGCTCGACGGCGTGGTTGATGGCGGCGAGCGCAGCGGGCCCGTCGCCCTGTAGCCTGCGAAGCGGAGCCTCGAGGAGCGAAAACACGGTGCCGGCCGGGTAACGCTCTTTGTTGAGGGCGATGAGGTGGGCGGCACGCTCGAGATGCTCTGGATGCGGCACAAACGAGGTCGGCATGTACACGGTGGCGGCAAGAACAACAACAGCGGCAAAGGGCGAGTCGAGGAACTCGCCGGCGGCTACCTCGGAGAGGAACTCGATGCCACGCGAGGCATCGCCGTGGAGGCCAAGTGCGCCGAGTAGGGTTTTGCCCATGCCGGGGCGGACGAGGGCGAGCAAAAAGTAGGTGAGGCCCTGGCCGTACTTGACAGCAGCCATGAGCGCCGGGTCAAGGCGGACGGCGTGGACGGCGTCGTAGGCCTTGATTTGCTCGAGAACGGCGGCAAAGGCCTTCCAGCCCTTGCGGAGATGAAAGGCGGCGCCAGTCCGCGAACCAGTCCGCATCAACAGCAGCGCCTTGTAGAGGACGGCGGTGGCGGCGATGAGGGCGACGTCAAAGCCTGTGGCGGCGCGGAGGGCGAAGCCCTGCGGCGCGTCGAGGTCGACAGCAGCGTCGGTGGCGAGGCGGGCGACGAGGGCGTCGAGGGCGGTAGGATCGGCACCGACGCTAGAGGCAAAGGCAGCAACGGCATCCATGGCAGTGATGGCATCGGTGGTCGCCGACGCCGAGCCGGAGCGCAGCGCGTCGAGGAGAGCCACCTGGGCGAGGGTAAACTTTTCGCGCGGGCCGTCGTCGGCAACGGGAGCCAGAGCCTCGATGGCGTCGGCAAACTGGTTGTTCCACATGGCCATGGCGGCGTCGTCGACAAGCTGCGAGACGAGTGGCGATGTGTGGTCGTTATCGTCGGCTTCGAGCTTTGCAAAGGTCGAGGCCTGCAGCATGGGGATGGCCTCTGCAGAGGTCACATCGTCGGCGTCCATGAGGGCCTGAACGGCGAGGACGACGCCGTCGACGCCGTGGAGGCCGGCGAGCGGGAAGAGGTGCGATTCCATCCACGCCCAGTCGTCAAGGATGGCGTGCCAGTCTGCGGCGGTGGCAATGGCCTGGTACGGCGGCGATGCGACGATGATGCGGTAGGGGTTGGTGTCGGACTCGCCCTTCGCCGCCCGCTTTGCGCGCATCTTGTCGACGGCCATACCGCCCGCCATGGTGGCCTTGTGGTACTGGAGTGCAAAGCCAGAGTCGGACGACTTGGCCGTCACCCACCAGGTCGACGTGTTGAGCACGTTGAGCTTGCCCGCCAGAGGCAGCTTGCTCCGCTTGGCCGGGTTGCATGGCCCACCTTCGGTGGCAAAGGGCGCCACCAGCGAGGCGGGGATAGCACCTGCGGCAGCCATGGAGGCCGCCACGGGCGAGGTGAGGGCGTCGGGCATTCCGTCGGGGGCCGCGGACGATGCCATGGCGAAGGGGGAGTGGAGTGGGTGCTGGGGAGGAAGGGGGGAGGGGGGGGGGGGGGGGGGAAGGGGGGGAACGGTGGCATGTGGGGCAAGTGGCGGCAGGTGGCACGGCAGGTGGCACGGCAGGGGGCGGGTGGTGGGTACCGCGGCGTTTACAAGGCGGCGGAGAGGACACTGATGTAGTCCTCGAGGTGTGCGATGGTGGCATCCTTGACACGGACAAGGTCGAGGAGCTGTGTGTGCTGGGCGGCGGCGGCATCGGCGGCATCGGCTGCGGCGAGGCGGGCATGGAGCTCGTCGTTCTCGGCAGCAATCTGGTCGAGCATGTCGTACTGGTCCATGACATGCTGGTAGAGGCGCTCGAGCTTGGCGGTGAGGACCTCGACAGCCTGGGGGTCAGCGCCTGGGCCGAGAACGGCCGAGGCCGAGGCAGTGATGTCGCGGAGGACCGGCGGGAGCGGCGGGCGGTCCGGGAGCGAACCTGCGTTTGCGCGTGCAGACCGGGCAGCAGGCGATGCGGCGGGCGAGGGAGGGGCGGTAACGAGCTGACACAGATTGGCCAGGCCCTGGTGCCAGGCCTCCAGCTCGCGGTACGAGTCCGGATGGAGGACGACGACAGTGCCGTCTGCAGTGGAGAGGGTGAGGACCGGCACGTCTGCCGATGCAGCGGGCGAGTCGTGGCGGGTGACGTCGACGACATCCTTGAGGGCGACTGTAGGATGGATGAGTGAGTGTAGGGGAAGGGAGGGAGGGAGGGAGGGAGGGAGGGAGGGGGAGAGGCGGTGGTGCGTACGTGCGACTGACGAGGGCTCGCCGGACGAGTGGGTGGCCTCCGAGTCGTCCCACAGCAGGAAGGCGTTGCTGTGTGGGGAAGGGGGTAGAGAGAGGGAGGAGGGAGTGAGTGTGTGTGTGTGTGTAGTTGGGGGAGAGGGGG